ATCTCTACCTAAAATTTCTAGGCTAAATTTCAAACTAAAATAACGATTAAATAAATTACCGGTTAATATTCGGAATACATCAGGTGTAACGAGAAGCAGACCTAGTGATCTTTCCAATAAGTACAGCTGCGATTAATATTAAGATTAATTATAGTTTAGACGAAAGATTGGAGCCGCCAGAAACGGCCTTACAGTGAGAACTCTAATATTCTAGCCAGATTTCGCGTGTACCTGGCATGGTGTTATTGGGGAAAGAAAAGGAGAGGGACGGAAGTTGACATAATAAATCCATGACAGAAACAGGGGAAAAGCGGTTAAATATTGTTTTGCTGAAATCAGATGTTCTAGACTGAAAGACGCAGATAACACAGCCTAGCTGTAGCTCAAAACACAACATGCCACCAGCTCTTTCAAAGGCGAATGTAGAAGAAGAACAAGAATTGTTATTCAACGCCTAACTGACACAGTCTAACGCAAATTAATGAATGAATGAACAAGAATTGACATCATGCACTCTAGATATTCCCACGCGTGCTCCTTTCTCAGTAGCCAAGAGGAGTCAATATGTTTGTAGTAAAAGTACCAGCTGTAACCTGATTAAAAGCCCACCTATGTTTTTCCGCTGCGTTGAATATCTTCTAGACACACTGCTCAGTTTTGCCGAAATAATCTGTCAATGTATGGATGTTTGGTCTGTCAATGTATGGATGTTTGGTCTGTCAATGTATGGATGTTTGGTCTGTCAATATATGGATGTTTGGTCTATCGATGTATGGATGTTTGGTCTGTCGATGTATTGATGTTTGGTCTGTCAATGTATGGATGTTTGGTCTGTCGATGTATGGATGTTTGGTCTGTCAATGTATGGATGTTTGGTCTGTCAATATATGGATGTTTGGTCTATCGATGTATGGATGTTTGGTCTGTCGATGTATTGATGTTTGGTCTGTCAATGTATGGATGTTTGGTCTGTCGATGTATGGATGTTTGGTCTGTCAATGTATGGATGTTTGGTCTGTCAATATATGGATGTTTGGTCTGTTCTGTTGCTGTGTAAACTTGATTCCAGAGAACCTTTACCATGTCCTATTGATCCAATAGAGCTGTCATATCGTCCACTTAAACACAGAGTAGCTCACCACCCAGAGAGGCAGCAGCAGCCACTCTGTCAGTAGCTTATTACTCCGCACTCACGAATATCCAGACAAATATCACAAAGCATGTGGTGTTGTGATCATCATCATCAAGTGCCACACCGACTGGCGTGGGAGATCATGCCTCTCCACAATCTGCGGTTAGCAGCTGCGTGTATCAATTCGTGTAGCCCTCTACGACATGACAGGAGGCTGTCAATAATCTTCTCGCGCAGTATTCCTTTGTCTCTCCACTTATCTTTTCAGTGGTCACAACATGCTCCAGTGTTCTTCTGTCTCTCCACTTATCTTTTCAGTGGTCACAACATGCTCCAGTGTTCCTCTGTCTCTCCACTTATCTTTTCAGTGGTCACGACATGTTCCAGTGTTCCTTTGTCTCTCCACTTATCTTTTCAGTGGTCACGACATGTTCCAGTATTCCTCTGTCTCTCTCCACTTATCTTTTCAGTGGTCACGACATGCTCCAGTGTTCCTCTGTCTCTCCACTTATCTTTCCAGTGGTCACAACATGCTCCAGTGTTCCTTTGTCTCTCCACTTATCTTTCCAGTGGTCACGACATGCTCCAGTGTTCCTCTGTCTCTCCACTAATCTTTCCAGTGGTCACCACATGTTCCAGTATTCCTCTGTCTCTCCACTTATCTTTCCAGTGGTCACCACATGTTCCAGTGTTCCTCTGTCTCTCCACTTATCTGTCCAGTGGTCACCACATGTTCCAGTGTTCCTCTGTCTCTCCACTTATCTTTCCAGTGGTCACCACATGTTCCAGTGTTCCTCTGTCTCTCCGCTTATCTTTCCAGTGGTCACCACATGTTCCAGTGTTCTTCTTCTCATAATAACATGACCACAGATTACGACTGCCTCTTCCTAAAGTTTGTGATTCGTTGTCTTCATGTCCTCGTCTCTTTCAAAACATCTGGGTTGCTATTTTTACGCTGCCATCGAATTCTAAGGATTCTTCTGTAAAACCACGTCTCCGATGCCTGAAAAAATCGTGTGGCTTGTTCATAGTCAAGCCCGGAGTCCAACTGGTGTGATTTGTTTCATATTCACAAACATATTCTATCCAATATTTACATTACATTTTTTTTTTAATTGATCAAAATACAGAAAGAGACACAATAAAGAATGTAACTGTAAACTTTAATAAAACTCCGAGAATCGCAAATACTAGGTAAACAGAATAAAACTAAGCTACCAGAAAAAGAAACACAACAATAAAACATAAATAATATCAGTTTGTACAGCACCACACTGAAAGCTATACTAGCGAAAGTCTTGATGTGAGAACTTCCAACTGATCTCGCCGATAATGGCTGTAAATAAACATGTAGTCTGTATGACCGAGCAAGCGCAATTCTTTTTTACCCGTCTAGGAACCTGAACAATACTTAGTGGGGATGTTACGTGTGTCCTGGTGATTATTAAGAAAGCTGAACCAGGTATCTCGGATTTGTTTGGCTGCAATGGCGTCCAGGAAGCGGCTCTTCGGGTGGCTACAGTGTCAAACTTTCAGGTGGTGGTTTGGAAAGATGGATGATGGGAGGGGACACAGGCAGTCAACCAGACTGTATGACCAAACTTGAGACTGAGACCGCAAAATCATTAGGACATCGCTACTTTAGCAATTGGAGGTCACTAGACACACTATATGTGTCACGTATTGACACCGCAAGTCTCTTGAGAACCCCCTTATCTATCTAATGAGGTCCAACTCGCCCAATGGACTTGACGTATAGCACAGCTTCATCCAATATTATTTGAGTTACGGCCCTTGCCTTCCAAATCTGTCACTTGCTAATATTAATTTCATGTATTCACGCTTGCCTCACATACATATGGACTTTTCTTGAAGAGACCTCTGTTAAGTGATTCTGTGTATTCTTGTCTAAATGCAACATTTTCTACTCATAGTGAAAGCGTCCCAGCTGCAACGTCCACTTGTCGTTTGTGACTGACAATTTAAAACTGGTTGGTTCTACTTTCGGCTAGGTTTGATATCTTATCACAATAAAAGAAAACATTGCAGACTGAAGAATATCAATATTCTATGCAATACTGTATATGTTTTTCATCTGATGTAAGTCAAGGAACATCTTTTTTTATGCTAACGACGCAATATACATATGTTTATACCTTATGTTTTAAAGGCAAATAAAAATAAGCCTTCCATTCATATTAAGTAGGCCGCCTTTACATTTGAGGACTTTACTTGGTACGCTTCTTCTTCTTCTGCGTTCGACATCAGTCATGCTAAACACTGAGTCCCGTCTGGGTCACAAATAGGATTGTGCGTTTAAGGTCGCCACCGGTCCCCCATAGCTTCTCTTTCAATGTGGCTCCCTTGGGCCAGATCCACAGTCTTTGATGGGAGGGTTAGGGCAGTACTGTAGTATGTGTCTAGTGGAAAAGGGTCTCTCATCCTTTGAAAGTCCATCGTGTCCGAATTGTCTGCCAGTGTTTCTCTGCCACCTGCTAACAAAGTCCAACATGTGTCCGGTATACCAATCGTAAGCTTGTCGCACGGTCGTCCAGGTATGCAGACTGCTCTAATTATGCTACCGCGACGACTTCTTAGCTCACAGTACTTTCTGCAAAATCACCAAGTCGTCTTGTCCCTATCCGAAAGAAAACACCATCCGGTAATTCCGTGCAGCGGGGAAACCAGCCCTGAGCTTCATGAACTCAGGTGGGCCCACTCTCTGAAAACGTCTAGGAGCTCGTGGGCCGAAACGTTTGTCGACGAGGGATAACTTCTACCTATGACTGGTAGATCCCTGCTGTACTTGCTCCCCTGTGGAGTTTATTTTTATTGTGCCCAGGGGTCTCTCTTTCTGCTCCACAATCACAGGCAGCAGATTCTTTTATGCCTATCCTGAACAGGTGTGCTCAAAGACCACAGTGTCCAGTCGGAAGTCTAAAAATTGTTTGTTCTTTCCTGTTGAGTTTGTTTATGCTGTCACTCTCTGGTCTGTAATCTCCATTCTGCCTTCTCCATTCCCGCTTGAAAGACTGATTTAGTGCTGTTTTGGTTTCCTTGTAGCTGTGTGGTGGATGACCACTTGGTACCCATTTTGGCAGGGTCGACCTAGGAATGTATAAAACAACAAGTAGAACACCACATTTCGCGAGAGGAACTATATTCTGTGCAATTTATTTTTTGTCCAACTGAGAGAGAAAATTTCTAATTATCTGTAAAGAGCAAATCATTTCCTGATGCATAAAAGTGAATCACAGCGAGGCAGCAGATTAGTGAGAAATTGGGTGGAATCTGTCGAAATGCGGTTTTAAACAGTGGACATAAGTGAACAAGAAAAAAAGAAGCGAAATGAAGGTGTCACGAGAGAAAATAACTGGCACAAAGCTGGTTCCCTGCATAAGGCACATAGAACCCACATTCTTTTTGTACGTCATGTGAAGAAAAAAAAGGGTGGGGGGGGGGGGGGACAGAGAGAGAGAGAGAGAGGAGAGAGAGAGAGAGAGAACTAGCCTATATAGTGATAACAGGAAAAGCTGAAGAGGCAGAGAGACAGTGAGTCGAAGAGTTACTGTGTTAGAAAATTTAGCATCCTTAAACTTTGAAGTGGTGACATCGCCTTGCTGTTTGAAAATGTATGTGCACATAAGGCCAGTTTGTCAATTATTATGTTGTCTAGTATATTAGTATATATACATAGTCAAGTATATTCTGAAATTTATTTCTTGTACACTTGTGAGTTCAGATCAATGTACGTAATGTATTTTTCATATTATTTCAATGGAATCTGAGATTCTTCAACAGTTAACATTTATGCATACTATCAGTAAGTAAAAAGAATTTTAAAACTGTTTAAAACTCTCCTCCACTGCTAATTAATCCCATAGTCGTAGTCAAAAGTGCCATCCGCCACGGAGTCCAGAAAGTGCAGCAAAGTCTTTGTGTCAGTCGATGTTGCTTGAACGGCTGGAAGTGTTTTCAAAGCCTCAAGCCATTCTGCCAGCTTGGGGTAATTCGATTTGTCAATATAAATTTTCTTGTTTCTTGTACCATAGGCTTGAAATCTCTCGAAAAGTGGCCACATATAGAAGTCAATCATAGCAGGAGTTTTACCTGTTGAAATAAGAAAGAGTAGTGCACAATGCAAGTATATAAATACTAAAGTGAATCATATTCAACACAAGAAAATAGATAATTTTAATTAATGCAGAATAGAAAAGTTACTAGCATCACGAGGGCTTATAGACTGAAATGGCTGGGGCATACTGAGAGAACGTCAGATGACAGAGAGGTAAAAACTGTATACACAAGGGAGCTGAATGGTTGTAGACCACGAGACAGACCAAGAAGACTGTGGAGAGATAACGTCCAGGTAGATCTGCAAACACTTGGAAAGAGAAGGCCAACCAGAGAAATAAACTGAGCCGAGTGATAAATGCAACAATGAACTCCCAGAACTCAGATTGCTTCCCAATCACAGAGGTGGCCTGCATAAACAGGACAAAGGTTTCTTCCAAAGTCGGAGTGCATCTGCCTGCGAGGGAAGGAACCAACGGTATGTACACAAATAATCAGATAGGTAAAACAGGTTTGCATACAAAACCCAAGTTCGGGAAAAGACGGAAATCTAGAAGTGGGCGAACAAGTAGGACTTTCCGTAGGAATTTACAGCTGGTGAACACGAAGAAGAAGAAGAAGAAGAAGAAGAAGAAGAAGAAGAAGAAGAAGAAGAAGAAGAAGAAGAAGAAGAAGAAGAAGAAGAAGAAGAAGAAGAAGAAGAAGAAGAAGAAGAAGAAGAAGAAGAAAAAGAAGTACGACCATTTGACCCCTCATGTATGCTACCTGATGAGTTGGCCAGCTCAGAGACTTCAAAGGTCGCAAGAGAGCAAATCACAGATCTCCCGTTCACTCTATAAGTAGTTCTAATCCAGCCGACAGTGACGGCTACTCTGAAGTGATGTCAGCTGGTGGTTGTCATTGTTCTCTAACGGATTGCTGTCCGTAAGATTACCACCTCAAGGAGGAGAATCTAACAGAAGAAATTCACAGAAACCCCTTTCAACTGTATAACACAGTTGTAGCCGCAGTGATATTCACCACATCACCAATCAGCGGTCGATAGCAAATATGAGGCTGGCCTTATATGCCTGATTTGCCATTGTCGTGTAAAGGGACTTTTGCTTTACTCATTACAGTTGTACCAGGGCATCTCTGTTGTACCAGGGCATTTCTGTTGTACCAGGGCATCTCTGTTGTACTAGGGCATCTCTGTTGTACCAGGGCATCTCTGTTGTACCAGGGCATCTCTGTTGTACCAGGGCATCTCTACAGTTACAGAGTAAACTGCAGCCTAAACTGGGGATGGCACATCAATTTAACACACACACAAAAACTACCTTGTAGTGATTCGCGGTTTTTAAGGTATATAGTACTAGCACCGACGTAATCCAGCCATACACAATACAACCATTCAAAGGGTCATTTGACAATTGTGATAGCACATTTGCATACGTGTCAAAATCTTGTCCTCATAAAGCTGACCAATCACATGTTTACAATGGCCCATGGTGTACTTCTACCGCGGGCACAGACAGAAAAACAAACACATGCAAACTATGAACTTAGAAAACAACGTATGTGGCATTTTTTCCCCCTTCTAAACATCAAGCAAATGGCCAGGGGAAATATTTTCGCGCGCGTGCGTGCGTGCATATGTGTGTGTGTGTATGGGTGTGTGTGTGGGTGTATGTAGATCGGTATCAATGTGTGTGTATGTATGTGTGTGTTTGCTTGCGTGCGTGCGTGCGTGTGTGTGTATCTGGGTGTGCGTGTTTGTGTGTGTGTGTGAATCGAGCAACCACAAAATCGACTATCAGCTAGGTGACAGATAAGAGAAAAATTAGATAACATAAAATTTTTACAGATTCTTATCAGTCGTTACCTCCAAAATATGGTCCCCCTCTCTTGACCAAGGTGTCTTCATAGTATTTGAAGTGCTTTCCCAAATCCTCAGCAACTTTCTCGATTTCCTCAGGCTTTAGTAACAAAGTATAGAACGAAGCCCCAAGCTGGCAAACATGCAAATAACATTTTTTTTAAAAATATGATAGATCACAATATGGTTAAATGATAGGTCAGCATATAGTTACATGATAAGTCAGCATATGGCTACATCATAAGTCAGTGTATGGTTATATGATAGATCAACATATGGTTATATGATAGGTCAGCATATGGTTATATGATAGATCAACATATGGTTACATGATAGATCAACATATGGTTATATGATAGGTCAACATATGGTTATATGATAGGTCAGCATATGGTTATATGATAGATCAACATATGGTTATATGATAGGTCAGTATATGGTTACAAGATAAGTCAGCATATGACTACATCATAAGTCAGTGTATGGTTATATGATAGATCAACATATGGTTATATGATAGATCAGTATATGGTTACAAGATAAGTCAGCATATGACTACATCATAAGTCAGTGTATGGTTATATGATAGATGAACATATGGTTATATGATAGATCAGCATATGGTTACAAGATAAGTCAGCATATGACTACATCATAAGTAAGCGTATGGTTATATGATAGATCAACATATGGTTATATGATAGATCAGCATATGGTTATATGATAGATCAGCATATGGTTATATGATAGATCAGCAAATGGTTACATGATCGGTCAGTATATGGTTACAAGATAAGTCAGCATATGGTTATATGATAGATCAACATATGGTTATATGATAGATCAGCATATGGTTATATGATAGATCAGCATATGGTTATATGATAGTTCAGCATATGGTTACACGATAGGTGCTGGAACTTAAATATACACACAAACACAAAAATATATAGACTTTCTCTTTTCATGTGTTTATACATTTTATATTTGTTAAAAGTATATTATTATGTTTATTTGCCAGTTACAGATAATAATTATTATTATAATTTGCACGTTGGCTCCAGCCCAATCTAAACCCTCTCCTCCCTTGTGCCCCTAAAATAGGGCTGAGCTGCCCCCTCCCCTCCATACCCACCGAATATTGTCTTTGTTGCGGCGTGCCGGATGGATATTAACCGCTAAAATAGCAAATAAATGATTGACTGATTAAATGAACCAAGAAATGCACACGATTCATTCCCACAAGTGCTCCGTCTCCTTCTTTAGCACCAACGAGGAGTTGAATTTCTAACAGTACCAGGTACAACCTGATGAAATGTTCGCCTCTGTTTCCTACCTCAATTTTGACACTAGGCCCCCCCCCACCCCCAAAAAACAACCCTGTTAGATTAGTCTCCTACTGTATGGACGATCTGTTCTCTTACATTGTCTATTTGATTCCAGAGAACCTTCACGATATCAATTTTTTCATAAGGTAGCTCGTCGCCCAGAGGAGTGGCAGCAGCTCATCTGTGAAGTAGTAAATTATCAACGCCGATGCGCTGTCAAGTGATTTGTTAGCAAATAGTGGCGGGATGCAGTTAATCTCAGTATCCCTGTCACGTCACAGTTGTCAGCTTAGGTTGCTTGGTCATACCTGGAGAATGGAGCAGACAGACAGCACAAAACAAACTCTATAGCAGTAGTTCTTAACCTTCCGAGTACCGCGACCCTTTAATACAGTTCCTCATGTGGTGGTGACCCCAAAACATACAATTATTTTCGTTGCTACTTCATAACTTCAGTAAATCTGTGTTTCTGGGCTCACTACACAAAGTACACAACCCTGCAGAACCTTATTTTATTTAAAAAACACATCTCGGGATTTGCCCTAATATAAACCCAACCTATGGGTTGACCCGGGTTTCTGGACCTTGTGCCCAGGTGATCCTCATCCGAAAGGTGGCACTTTGTGCGAGTGTTGGTTGCTCGTTGTACGGTCCTAGTGGGGTTAAATAAGCAAGCAAGCTGCAGAAAATGTACAATTGTTTTCCGAAACGCCAGTAATTGAAATTTATAGGGGAGATAGCTACTTTTCTCTTAATTATCGTGTCATCCCTTTGTGGGATGCAATTTTTCGTTATTTGAAGCCCTACTCTGGCTCTTGCCAGGGGCCGCAATATAGCCCGGTCATAAATATGGTCTAATGGCCGAAAGCGGTTTCTGAGACCTCTCCACGGGTGATCCTCATCCACATGGTGGCACTTTGTGTCATCGGGTGTTAATCGCTTGTGTGATGTCCCAGTGGGGTAAAAGAAGATAGATAGACAGACTACCTTGCCCAAATATTCCAGGAGTATCCGGTCCTGGGCTTTCCTATAAGGGTCACTTGGCTGGAGCTTGTTGCTGGGGAAGACATCATCCAAGTATTCAGATACCGAGGTTGACTCGTAGATGATTTTGTCATCCAGTTCCAAGATAGGCACAGTTCCTTGGGGATTCTTTTGCTGAAGCCACTCAGGTTTGTCCTTCAGATGCACATTAACAGTTTCATGGCTGGGAAAAAAATCAGATTGCGAACAGATTATTTCTCGCTAGTGTCTCAGGCAGGGTTGCCATATTGGCATTTTTTATGCCAGATTCCACAAATCTGGCATATTTGAAATTTAACTGGCATAAGATAATAAACTGGCATTTTTCTGGCATATTTTTTGTAATGGTTTGGCATAAAATAAAGTTTTTTATCTGGCAACCCTGGTCTCAGGAGATTAAAAACAAACTAGGCAGTCATGTTCAAGGTAAGGGAGGTAAGTGAAAGAATTTAGACAAAGATAGTATTTTTGGATGTACATATTTAGAGAAGAAATCGATTCAAAAACTTGGTGACAACAGGCAGGTTTGGTGGTAAGGGAACAGTAGTAAGACAGGGATAAATAGCTGGATGGCTTGGATACATGAATGGCACAAGAGCACTGACCCGATCCGTATTTGTGGAGATCTTGTGGGATGTAAACCCTGATCCTTCATGCATAACAAAATGACACTTGATGATGATGATGATAATGACGACGAAGATGATGGCAATGATGTTGCTGAAAACGATTAATGATAGCGCAGAATACGATCTTATGCTGACAGTTTCATGATAGCAACAGTCAGATGAAATATTTGCTATAACATATTAGACCCCCCCCCCCCCCCCACCTCCTCTTGTAACAAACCTGCTATCAAAGGTCACTAATTAGTGGTTTCCAGAAATCATATATTCATTGGGCTGAAATTCACAGATATCGCAGCCTAGCTTAAACCACAATTCGCCCTCTAAAGAAAGACAGCTGAAGTAGTTGAAGACCATTATAATAGTCATTACATTTAGGAGAAGAAAATCGACAGCTTCACAGTCAGATGATATATTTATGGTAGCTGATTGAGTTTTACTATCAGAAGATTGGCAGTTTTACAGTCCTTGTAAAATTGATTGTGGCTATTTCAGGCCAGAAATGCATCTCTTGGTGAAATAATTCCTTGTAAACGTCCGAATGGGTATTTCTTTATCTCCATTAACCCCCCCCCCCTTTTTTTTCTCGATTCTCCCCCCCCCCCCCCTTTCTCTCTCTCTCTCTCTCTCTCTCTCTCTCTCTCTCTCTCTCTCTCTCTCTCTCTCTTCACGATTTCAGAGTATACGTCCCCAATCCTGTAGTTTTCTATACACTGTAGTCACATAGTGCTAAACGCGTCTTGCTTGTGAAAATGCAGACAAATTGACGATGTCCAAAATTGTTTGCATAGACTCAGATTTGCTCGCGAAATCAGGACGAACCCGCAAATATGATCAATTTTTTCAAAATGTTTGCCCCTGAGTAAATTTAGTTGGATAGCCCTGATTTATGGCAATCTGGCTCATAAATCCTGTAGTATAATGAATGTCCAAGATCTACTTACGGTATGTTCTTGTGTGCCAGGACCAATCTCACTCTCTGTGCGAAAGGACAGTACAGCATACTGTAATGACGAATCACTCCCGCCTTCAGTGGTGGAAGGGCAGACCCTGAAAACAGATGTTATATCAAGGAATGATGGATGGTCAAGGACTGTCAGTTAGCATGTGTACGCCTTAGCAGGTAACTGGAGAGTAAAACCCGTGATTCCCAGGTACCGCAGTCTGCTGTTTCTTTTGATGCCGCTGCCATTTATTTTGAGTCTGGGAACATCAGCTCTAACAATCCGGTTGTCCAAAGAACACCACAGGATATTTGCCTTGTATGGGTTGATTACAGCACTCATCTGTGTACACCAGTCGATCACCATATCTATTGTCGCCTGTAACTCTTCTGCTATTTGATACTGATCTCTCCCCTTCCTATTTACGAAAACATCATCTGCAAATGTCAATATTCTGCCAACTCTAGGCGTTTCCAGGAAAGCAAACATGCTCGTAAAAACATTGAGCAGTTCAGGTGAAATTACAGATAAACAAAACAAAAAAAACACCCGACTGCATGTAGATAGTACATTGTCAACCCGGAAACTAACACATTGTTGTTTAAACAAGTAGTAATTTAACTCGTACTGGCTCGACTTACCACTTCTGAGATGTTTCTCTGGCATGGTTGCGATCAATCGGATTGAGGACACCAGGATAAACTAACAGAACGTTATCTACCTCAACAGTATCTCGAACAGGACACGGTGTCGATTATCAAACGCCAGTAGTGCCTCATAGTGGGCCGAAGAACGTTAGAAAACGCCAAGTCATGACCCAATTAACCTGCTGACAGGCTTGGCTGCGTACTGTGTCGCTTGTAAAACATTCCATTATGTGGTTGACATTATGTTTCGATCGGCTTCTATTATGATGTTAGAGCCTTGCCAGGGCACGGGTGTTATAGAGTTGCCAGGGCACGGGTGTTATAGCCTTGCCAGGGCACGGGTGTTAGAGCCTTGCCAGGGCACGGGTGTTATAGTCTTGCCAGGGTACGGGTGTTAGAGCCTTGCCAGGGCACGTGTGTTATAGCCTTGCCAGGGCACGGGTGTTAGAGCCTTGCCAGGGCACGGGTGTTATAGCCTTGCCAGGGCACGTGTGTTATAGCCTTGCCAGGGCACGGGTGTTATAGTCTTGCCAGGGTACGGGTGTTATAGTCTTGCCAGGGCACGGGTGTTATAGCCTTGCCAGGGCACGTGTGTTATAGCCTTGCCAGGGCACGGGTGTTATAGCCTTGCCAGGGCACGGGTGTTATAGTCTTGCCAGGGCACGGGTGTTATAGCCTTGCCAGGGTACGGGTGTTATAGTCTTGCCAGGGTACAGGTGTTATATCCTTGCCAGGGCACGGGTGTTATAGCCTTGCCAGGGTACGGGTGTTATAGTCTTGCCAGGGCACGGGTGTTAGAGCCTTGCCAGGGCACGGGTGTTATAGTTTTGCCAGGGCACGGGTGTTAGAGCCTTGCCAGGGCAGGGGTGTTAGAGCCTTGCCAGGGCACTTTTTATGGCACTAGGGCACAGTCCTGTACATTAACAAAAATGTAACGATAGTTATTTCTGGTCACAAAACGGCAGCATTTTTTTTAGAATGCTATATTTATCAAAACGGCCGGCGCAATGCTGACCACATTAACCACCTAGTGGCGATTGGTCAGCAAAAATATGGGGTGCTCTGCCCATATGCCAAATGCGCCTTAAGGGGTGAAAAGATTTCATTACTTTACTTTTATACTAATCAATAATGCGGCGCTGTGTGGTTTTGAGGCATGGTGCCTGCCTCGAGTGGTAGAGGTTCTGGGTTCAGTTCCTAGTAAGGGCAAGGACTTTTTCTTCACATGGACTTGGACTTCTAGTAATTCCTCTTGGTCTCTGGGTAGTGAGATCGGACGCCCCTGTGCCTTTTTGCGCTCTTATAAAAATCCCTTGGCAGTTGGAAATCGAAAAGAGTAGCCTAACGGCGCTGCCCGGGCAGAATTTGGAGTTAAAAATCTATCCAAAGTATGTCAAGATCCTCGCCGGTGCTACAGAGCCTGTGCACCGTGCTGAGCTTCTTCGGACTCTGACTTGAGTTAGAAGAAGAACGAAGCACTTATGGGTAACTACCGGTGTGCCATGATGTTGATCCGTTGTTCAAACCTAAGACATCAATAATTTGTTATCTGTCTAAAAGTAACCGGCTGGTACTACAGCTGCTACTGCTAGTACTATTAGTTTTACTGCTGCTGTTGGGACTTCTACTATTGCTGCTGCTGCTGTTTCTACTACCACCACCCCCATCACCACTACGACCATCACAACTAGTACCAGTACCACCACCACCACTACGACCATCACAACTAGTACTAGTACCACCACCACTGATACAATACTGCTGCCATTGCCATGTTCTCTCGGAAATAAAACATACACCTGAAAAAAACCCTACGTGATTGCTCATGATGCTTTTCTTATAAGCCCTACCCAAGAAAAAAGCCCTCACCTAGTTTGTAGGAGGTCGTGACTTTAGGTGAAGAATTCATGGGATCAAAATCCCCGACAGTCGTGTTACCAGTGCACTACAAGCAGGCCAAATGGGCAAGAAATGCTCATGTACTGAATGCTTCATTGTTGGACTAGACTGACCGTCTATAATTGAGATAAGAAACAGAATAGGACAGGCAAAAACTGCATTTTATAAAATGAAAAACATCTTGTGGAATATATCCTTGTCATTGAGAGTTATAAAAAGAATTCTTGCCTGCTACATACATCCGGTTTTATTTAACATATGGCTGTGAATCCTGGACAATCGGTAGGCAGGCCAAACAATTTCTAGAGGCCTCTGAGATGTGGTTTTATAGAAGAATGCTTAGAATACATTGGACAGCCAAAAAGAGCAACCAAGAGGTTTTGAAAAAGGCGGGAGCCCGAAGACAACTTATCACAGACATCAGAAGGAGACAGTCATCATTTTTGGGCCATGTTATGAGAAGAGGGAAAATAGAACATGATGTGACTAATGGAAAGATCAGTGGAAGAAGGGATAGAGGAAGACAGCGAGAGAAGATGCTTGACAGTCTTGTTTCATGGCATGGAGGTGTGTCGGCACACGAACTGATACATGCTGCAGGAGATCGCAGATTATGGAGAGGCATGATTGCCCACGCCAGTCGGCAAGGCACCCGATGATGATGATGATGAGACTGACCGTGGCCAGGGAAATGGTTTTGCAAGAAATTTCGGCCAAAATTCTGGATTTTAAAAGTTATGACGACGTTCCAGAAGTATACGACACGACCCTATTTGAATAAATGTATAATTTTTTTAAGACCCGGTCCTTCATCATCAGCAGCTTCGGCTCCACCTTATCAGCCAATCATCAGATAGTATTGATACCTGCACAATACAGTATATGCTGGTCCCTTGGAGGATAGGCAGAGCGAGAGGACTTCTCCGCAATAGTCACCAGATATTGATACCGGCGCAATACAGTACATGCTGGTCCCTTTGAGGATAGGCATAGCGAGAGGACTTCTCCGCAATTGTCATCAGATAAGACTGAAACCTACATAACACAATACAAAGCATTAGCCAGAGCGAGAGGCCTTCTCCGCAAGCACCATGTCTCGGAGAAACAAACCTAACGGAAAGCGCAACGGACAGAGGAAACAACACACTGACAGATCTACCCGATCTAACTCGGAGGCCAGGAAGACGCAGACAGTTACTACCGAACCACAGGAAGACGCCCCGACTACCAGTGAGGCCCTGAGTGACGTCCCAGCGTCACCTGAACCAACACAGCCAAGTCCACAAACATCTCCAGATCGACGAAAGACAGGCAGCTATGAATTTCCTGCCACAATATTTCTACGACAGACCAGCTCGGGCCGGACAGCAATCACTTCACTGGCAACGCTAACATTGATCAATATGTTGGAGATCATATTAGGCAAGAGGGCAATCGCAAAGATTAGGAGAACTCGAGAAGGAGTGATAGCCTCACTAAACAGAACCAATCGCACCTCAGACATGCTGGATGACATCCAACACGACGGCAAGAAAGAACTCCGACTATCCGAGGAGATAACTGTGACGGCTACAATCTTCCAGAATGTAAGACGCTGGGTGATCCGAAGAGTCAACCTGCAATGGAGCAACGAAGAAATTCTGCAACAAATAAGGAAAGACAACCCCAATGTCAACATCAACCAAGCAGAGAGACTGGGCTCAAAACGGAATCCATTGCCAGTGGCGGTGATAACATCGGAAGGAGAACACATCCCGGATAAAGTCTACCTAGATCAAAGAATGCAAAGACCAGAGCAATACGTGCCACAGGTGATCCAGTGCCCTCGTTGCCAAAAAGCATGGCACTCCCGGGCCACTCGTGTGAACGAACATGAAGTCTGCCGATACTGTTCACAACCCCATGCCTTCAACAATTGCCCGCTGGCAAAGCTGGACACAGACTTTAGGTCTCCCAATACGAACAGGAAGTGCGCCAACTGCTACGGCCAGCACAGCACCAGGTACCTGGGATGCCCTTATCTTCAACAATGCAGAGAAATAGCAACCATGGCCATACGGGAAAAGATTCCATACCATGAGGCCCGCAGAAGACACGAAGCAACCCAAGGCATAACTGCAGCCATTACCACCAAATTGAGCAACGAGGTGGCTCAACTCAAAAGTGACATCCAAGCTCTCAGAGACGAGAAAAACGCATCCAAATCCCAACGAGATGAAGACAGAGATGAAATAACAGGCCTGAGGGCTATAATGCAGGCGACTCTTGACACCCAGAAACGGATGACAGCAGAGATGACGAAATTCAAGGAGGACATCATGAATGCACTGGCCACTATCCAGACACAAAAGGAACAACCAACTAAAGCAAGGGAAGACGAGGCGGGCATCAATGATCTGCGGGATAACCAACAACTTCTCGCGAAAGAAGTCGCAATGATCAAGAAGGCACTAGCTGAAACAGAGGAGAAGTTAAGAAGAGCATACGAAGAAAACAACAGACTTAATAAGGAACTGCAAGCAACCAACAGAGTGATGGAAGAAAGAGAGAAAGCACGGAAAGAGGCAACAAGAAGGCAGCAAATACAGGGAGCCGAGACCCAGAAAAAGCCACATCAAACACCAGATAAGAAAACTCCAACGCCGCTGATGAAACAGTTTCCGTTGGCAACTGCTGACCAAATTAACCAACGCATCATTGAGCTGGAGGACCCGAACTTCTTTAACTCAGAACTGCAAGATGATGATGTTTTTTGGTCATCACCAGAGGAACCATATCGACAGCCAAAATTTGAAGTCAAACGAGGTCGACACCGTTACCCCAAACACTAATACCAGATACGACACAACCAAGGCCAAATTACCGAAACCCTATGTAGGAGCAGTACTTTACAACAAGGATACGAGAAAATCACCAAATAATACCAGACCTCACCAGTATTGTCATCAGTACCTGCCCAAGTCAATCGAACGCCGGTCCTTATTAGGATAGGCAATTTACGTCAAACAGCCAAGGAATACCACAATAAATCGATTCAACATCCAATCATCTTGAGCGCAGCACAGGGCCAGCCAAATTACGAAGGCAACAGCAAGAGCGGAAACCACAACAAACAGAAAGCAACAATATTGATCACAATCCAAAATCAAATGAGATCATGACCAGAAAACGTCACCACAAATATAGCTGAAAGGAAAGTGAGCAGAAATGTGAGCGGACCTAGCTGAAAGTGGTCAACGAAAGAGAATTTGAAATTTGAAGACCCGGTCTTTTTTCTAAAAAATACGATATTACTGCACCACCACACTCTAACGACGGCCAAACCACGTTCGATTGCATTCTATATTTTTGTGATACTACTATATATTTTACGACTAGACCATACTTCTATCGATTTCCGTTAGTTTATTTGCACACTGGACATAAACGTGTTGGGGGAAGACAACGTGTGGATCTGTGATGGGTTACACCTGGCTGACAACATGTAGGGGACAGACAACATGCTGGGGACAGACAACATGCTGGGGACAGACAACATGCCGGGGACAGACAACATGCCGGGGACAGACAACATGCTGGGGACAGACAACATGCTGGGGACAGACAACATGTTGGGGACAGACAACATGCTGGGGACAGACACCATGCTGGGGACAGACAACATGCTGGGGACAGACAACATGTAGGGGACAGACAACATGTAGGGGACAGACAACATGTTGGGGACAGACAACATGTTGGGGACAGACAACATGTATGGGACAGACAGCATGTAGTTGACAGACAACATGCTGGGGACAGACAACATGCTGGGGACAGACAACATGTTGGGGACAGACAACATGTTGGGGACAGACAACATGCTGGGGACAGACAACATGTAGGGGACAGACAACATGCTGGGGACAGACAACATGCTGGAGACAGACAACATGCTGGGGACAGACAACATGTAGGGGACAGACAACATGTAGGGGACAGACAACATGCTGGGGACAGACAACATGCTGGGGACAGACAACATGTAAGGGACAGACAACATGTAGGTGACAGACAACATGTAGGGGACAGACAACATGTAGGGGACGGACAACATGCTGGGGACAGACAACATGCTGGGGACAGACAACATGTAGGGGACAGACAACATGTAGGGGACAGACAACATGCTGGGGACAGACAACATGTAAGGGACAGACAACATGCTGGTGACAGACAACATGTAGGGGACATACATCATGTTGGGGACAGACAACATGCTGGGGACAGACAACATGCTGAGGACAGACAACATGCTGGGGACAGACAACATGCTGGGGACAGACACAATTCTGGGGACAGTCAAGATGTAGGGGACAGACAACATGTTGGGGACAGACAACATGCTGGGGACGGACAAAATGCTGGGGACAGACAACATGCTGGGGACAGACAACATGTTGGGGACAGACAACATGTTGGGGACAGACAACATTTTGGGGACAGACAACATGCTGGGGACAGACAACATGTTGGGGACAGACAGCATGTTGGGGACAGACAACATGCTGGAGACAAACAACATGTAGGGGACAGACAACATGCTGGGTACAGACAACATGTAGGGGACAGAAAACATGCTGGAGACAGACAACATGTAGGGGACAGACAACATGTTGGGGACAGACAACATGTTGGGGACAGACAACATGCTGGGGACAGACAACATGCTGGGGACAGACAACATGCTGGGGACAGACAACATGCTTTTCTTATAAGCCCTACCCGAGAAAAAAGCCCTCACCTAGCTTGCAGGAGGTCGTGACTTTAGGTGAAGAATTCATGGGATCAAAATCCCTGACAGCCGTGTTGCACTACAAGCAGGCCAAATGGGCAAGAAATGCTCATGTACTGAATGCTTTACTGTTGGACTAGACTGACCGTCTATAACTGAGATAAGAAACAGAATCGGATAGGCAAAAACTGCATTTTATAAAATGAAAAACATCTTGTGCAATATATCCTTGTCATTGAGAGTTAGAAAAAGAATTCTTGCCTGCTACATAAATCCAGTTTTATTTAACATGTGGCTGTGAATCCTGGACAATCGGTAGGCAGGCCAAACAATTTCTAGAGGCCTCTGAGATGTGGTTTTACAGAAGAATGCTTAGAATACCTTGGACAGCCAAAAAGAGCAACCAAGAGGTTTTGAAAAAGGCGGGAGCCTGAAGACACCTTATCACAGACATCAGAAGGAGACAGTCATCATTTTTCGGCTATGTTATGAGAAAAGGGAAAATAGAACATGTTGTGACTACTGGAAAGATCAGTGGAAGGAGGGTTTGAGGAAGACAACGAGAGAAGATGCTTGACAGTCTTGTTTCATGGCATGGAGGTGTGTCGGCACCCGAACCGATACATGCTGCAGGAGATCGCAGATTATGGAGAGGCATGATTGCCCACGCCAGTCGGCAAGGCACCTGATGATGATGATGATGAGACTACTGGGGGGGGGGGGGGGGAACAAACTGTTTTTCACTACAGAAATTCCCTACATCTAATATCACCTTAAACTGTACTTACTTTGCCATAATACTCAGTGACAATCCTGTCCCAGGCCCTTCTATATAGGTCACTAGGCTGAAGACGGTTCTCAGGGTACACATCATCCAACCAATCACAAGTGGCAGTGGACTCGTATATTATTAAAATAGAACATGTCAATAACAGTTTTGTTAAACTAATAGCGACCTGTGTAAAAAAAATTTTTTAATGATTATTTAATGGAATTCCAGTGGAGTCATGCGCCACAATATTTTTTTGAATTTAAAAAATGTTTTTTGTTGTGAAAGGGTTAACGATTTTAGTTGTTCTGCTCCAAACAAAAGCACTTATATGACGTTGATTTGTTATCGCTTCTGTCATGGGTGTGCTCAAAGACCACAAACCCAGTACAAAGCTCATGATTCAGCTGAATCTACTCCAAGTTTGTAATAACAATTGTGACCACTGAATGTACTAAACCAGCGAATTACTGTTTTCAGAATTGACATCACAGAATACCAGGTGTACGTATAGATGCTCCATCTCCCACAGCCAATGTCTTAGGTTGTAGATGCCGATTGTTCCAGAAGAACACTGGTTGTATACACGGCATCACTTTTCTTATATTGTCTTTAGAATGCCTGTTTCATCTATCTAGTTCTCCTACCAGTGTTGCTTTTGTAGTTAATAAAAACTGTTTGTTAAATAACTGCAACTACAACCTCCTGCTCAGTTCTGTACAAACAACATTCAAACAAACAAGCATAATTTGTTTACAACCTGTTAAAATGAAACAACAGAAACATCTTTTTTCAAATGTATATTCATGTATAGCAATATCCATTTCTTGAAGAAAACAAAACATAAACAAATAATGAATTATAAAATCAGCAGTCTGAGTGAGCAAAAAATGCTGCACAACGAAAACTGAGCACATTAATGCTGACATCATTAATGTTATGTATAAATGTACTAACAGTTATATATAATTTCATTAATACTGATGTAGAAATTACATTCCAGTATGCTGATTTACATTTTTCAAGGGGAAAAGTACACTTAATGATGGAACTGTATGTTCTTATTGAAGAAAGTTGCATTTAATAATATAACATTCAAATGTCTTAACAAATATTTTTCATGGTGTGATTAGCTCTAAATATTTTTATTTAACCATTAGACATGATTTTTTAAAAAGAATAATTCATAAACACTACCAGATAATCCTTGCAGGTGACTTTCTAGATTTAGTTAGTGTTTGGCTGATAAAGTTCTGAATAGGACAGCAGGCTACAGCAAGGCAGAACTTTGAGTAGTTGTAGAGTGTGCCAGTATAACTGTTTTATACAGCTGACGGGGCAATTTAGGATGTGTTCCTGTTGTACTGGCGTCGGAAATGTGACTCTTTGGGTCAATGTAATATTAAATCTTTAGGCAGCAGTAGCAAAGCTGGAATATAGAAAAGAATTCTTTTTCTGATCCCGTCAGTAATACAACAGTGTTGATGAAGGTCGATGACAGACCAATGAATACAGGCAGACAAACCACCTTTTCAAAACCATCAACAAAATGTCCATGAATTAGACTTCTATAACAAATTTAATCTGTATAAATTATGAAACAACAATGTTTGATCCTGCTTGTAAGATCCACATTTAAAGACCCAAGTCGTAGTCTGGCTGTCCAGCTTTGAATGACTCAAAGAACTTAAGATGTGTTGCAGCATCAAAAGCTGTGGCTTTTACTGCAGGAAGAGAGGAGGTTGCATCAAACCAGGCGGCAAGTCTCGGAAACTTGTCTTTGTCGATGGCAGCTCGGGGTTCAGCTATGGCCACTACTGGAATTCTCTCAAAATGTGGCCAAATCAATAAATCAACCATAGCTGGCTTGTCATCTGAAAGATTATGAACATGTATTTGTAAAACTTACTAACAAATACAAAATGTTATTATCATCGTTGTAAACTCTTTATCAGGTAGTAACAAGGATAGATACAATAAAAAATGTAAATAGTTAACATATGTTATGACTGAAATAGTCGTACAGTTACAAATAGAACAACAGAATGCCTTGCTATGTTGCCTCAGAGAACTATGCTGAAGAAATTAAATGACTGCAATGCAAGGGAAGGACCAAGCAGTAGATGGAATAACAGCAACACGAGTGTCTTCTTTTCAGTCCAGAAATTGAGTCTTGTCTATACATCTGTTTTACAGATCTAGCTCACCTGTATGCAGACTGTTGGTTCCTTGTCTCTCAGGCAGATGCACTCCGTCTTCGAAGGAAACACCTTAATTAGTCAACTCTAATGACATGCTTGTCAGGATAAAACAGTGTTGGAGAGAGGAGGCAACCCTGCCGGACTCTTACTGTTGTTCGGAACTAGCTTCCTATTTAATACAATGAAGTCCATCGCAGTTGACCGCCAAAGGTGGAGAGAGCTGATCAGACAGTCAACAGAAACTAGTGACCCAATGACTGTTTCGGGATGATGAGATGTTAAGATAATAGCGGGTCTACACCTTCCCCCTCCCCCACCTCCAACAACAAGTAGGCCACAAAACCTACATGTGGAAGCATCAAGAGTAAATGCAGAAGACAATGAAGAGACTGACAGAAGAATCTCAAACTGAAGCAATAGAGAATCGCTTGTTCTTTTATCATTTGCCAGCCACACATAAAACATTGAATATTTTTAAGTGAACTTACCTCCAAAAAAAGGGCCATTTCTTTTAGCCAAAACATTTTCAAAAAACTGGTAGTGCTTCTGCAAGTCAGCAACCGCCTGGTCTCGGTCATCAGAGCTTCTGAACAAGGTGTAGATACTGCCGGCCAGCTGCGAGTGATAGACAGACATTATGTAGCAAGGGTTTGTGTGTGAGTTAGGGCAGATGCAAATAACATGGTGGACATGGCACAGTAATTTTAAAATGTTGATAAACACATTTTTAAATGAATTTATAAGTGACCTGTATAAAAATAGTTGTTGTTTTTATGTTTTTTTTTTTTGGGGGGGGGGGGGGATTTCTAACAGGGTCATGATCTATTTTTGTTAGGTTTCCCAAGCAAAAGGTCAATAGTTAAAAGAAAAGAAGAAGAAAAAAAAAAAACTACCCCCTAAGAAACATGTCATAAAAGACTAATATGGGCGGTTTTCTTTCTAAGTTGGAGTGCGTCTGCTTGAAAGGCAAGGGACCACCAGTCTGCATACAATTAAGCCAGATCTATAAAACGGAGGTGAACATAAAACTCAGGTTGTGCAACAAGACTAAAGATGAATTAGCAGAATTTCTGCTGGAGTTCACATACGGTGAATGTGAAGAAGAAGAAGAAGAAATTCCTCTTATCCAGATAAGGGTTCAAGCATATGGTAATGCCTTTACAATGTACAATACAATAATAAATCAACTTTGAATGCGACAGATGTATGACACACACAAGTTTGTAAGTCAGCAAAAGTGTTAATGTAAAAAGTTGGCACAAATATCTAGAGAACAAAGGCACTTTTTACACTTTGTTTTTAAATTCCTGAAAGCGTTGATTTTTAAAAGGCAAATTCCTTTGCTTTTTTCATTTTCCTTTTTGCCGCCATTTTCCACTTCTTGGAGAAGCTCAATCTTTCTTTTCACAGACATGGATTTTAACTTTAAAGCAATGTCCATTGTTTAGCCCATTAAGAAAGTAATACTGGCCCAGTGAGTCACCACTGCACGCAAAACTGTATGGGACTAAAAAGAACTCATAAAAACAGACAAGTTTATCACAAGAACCTGTCTGTCGGTACAAATCAGAAAGCAAACACAAGAAGAAGTAACTTTAAAGCCATGTTTGGAGGTGAAACCTCAAATTCTAATACCAACAAAACGCACATTTTCAATTATTTGAAATAAGTTTGCCATAAGCAGATCAAATTATATAGTCAAGACACCTTTAATTGTTGAACATGTCTGAAAGTTCATGATAAATAAATTCACTTTACCAGGTAATTTTTTTTTTAAACAGGGCTAAAGAAGAAAATTACTGGGGAGGCACAAACTGTTTGTTTTTCACAACATAAATTCCCTACATCTAATATCACCTTAAACGGTCTGCACGGTACTTACTTTGCCATAATACTCAGTGACAATCCTGTCCCAGGCCCTTCTATATGGGTCACTAGGCTGAAGACGGTTCTCAGGGTACACATCATCCAACCAATCACAAGTGGCAGTGGACTCGTATATTATTTTGTCATCCAACTCCAGAACTGGGACTAACCCCAGCGGGTTCCTCTCCAGAAACCAAGATGGCTTGTCTTTCAGATTGACATTGATGGTTTCATAACTGTGGATAACACAGCAGCGTCAAACATTCTAACATACAAATATTGTGAACTGCGGTGTACAAATCGACCTAATGTACAAGAGTCAGACTTACGATATTCAGCTTTAAATTATGAGTTACGCATGTACCTACCATACTGAATTGTGTACCCATCATAAAGGTCGAGCCCTAGTTTTGAGAAGACTTTTTGTAGGCTTGAAACCTCAACTTTCATGCCGTAATGTATGGTATGTCAATCAATCACGATTTATCTTCTCAATGAAGGTTCACTGCAATAGATTACTCATACTTCTGTTGTGTCTGTAGACTTCCTCAGGGGCCCAGGGTATCCAGGTGTTTTGATAAATGAACAGGCAGGCAGACTGGCTGATTCACACTTCTCTTCAGAACACGATGCTCTGTTTGTACTTCTGCAGTGTTCACTTTCTCCCAAAGGGCCTTGACCATATCTAGCTTGTCCTGTATCAATTCACCACCAATTCTTAATTCTCCTCATCTCAGCTCTCAAACTGTATTCATCCATCACCCGATGTTATCTCCCACTTGTGCTACTGACAACCTCTTGCCAACTTGCCTTCAGCTTTTACCTCTAGTATGATTTCTATTACATTAAATATTATGTCCTTTAAAGACATCAGACAATTTGTTGTGTCTTTATTATTTCTTTCAAGAGGTTTTTTTATCATTCCCACTCTCCTCAGAAATACTGAATTTGACTCTTTCTATTGTCATAAAATGTGACCTACTTTTCTGTGTATTACCATTAACAGGGTTTAAGTCTGAACGTCTGATTGCTTGTTTGCTTGTTTTACACACACCTGTCAACACACTAATACTTGACTATAAATACAGTAAAGCTACATGGAGAGAACTATAAGCTTTCAAAAATTCTTTTCATCATATTTGTTGTGAGTCATTGCTTCAGAGTAATATAGTGCTATAGGCCAGGTATGCATAATGATTATTTATTTGGCTATCTGTTTTTAAAAAAAGACTGACATAGGTTAGCCACACACAAAAAAAAACATTTAAAAAAAAAAAGGGAATAATATTAGAAAAATATTACAGTTTAGAGGAATACACATTTTAAAAATGAATTCCTAAATGTTATGAATACTCAACCCTATTATATAACAGGGCAGGGGATATAGGAATGTTCCAAGCTCCCTTACAACATTTATAGGGAGAAATGTTAAGTACTAATATTAATAATAATGTGAACAATGTGAATAAATATAAAAATGTATTTGAAATAATATGTGTACAAATAGGTAGCCAAAGCTAGGCTGCAATATCTGTGACTTTCAGACCGACACATCTGAATTTAGCAAACTTCTAATGGGTAGCCTTTTATGACATGCTTATATGAAGACAAAGGTCTATTCTTTTTTTCCCATGCAAAATGTGGCCCTGAAACCCCACAAGGAACAGCCTACTGTGATGACAGTTTTACTGAAAGGCTTGGACAGATGAATGAACTCCCTTCCTACAAACAAGAAACAATGCAGACAAATAGAAATGAAACACATACAGGAAAAACAAAAGGTCAACACTCACGGGATATTTTTGTGTTCCAAAACCAGTCTCGTCCGTTGTGCCCAGGGACAAAATCTCATGCTGTAAATTCTCAGCAAGCCAGGAGTTAGTGGAGGGAACGGTGTTCCTGTAGTGGCAATGTTTACATAAGGTTCACTATAAAGTTTACCTATTTCTTTAAGCTGCTGCATAAGTTTACCCATTGTTGCTCCAGAGTGTAACCCATGTTGCTCCAGAGTGTAACCCATTGCTGCTTCTGAGTACCCCATTATAACATCATAAATTTACATTATTTTATTATGAATAATAGGTTTAACCCACTTTTACCATGTTTACTTCCTTCTTCTCTATTTTAGGGGTTTCTAAATTATTTGGTAGCAGACCGAAGGGTTAAAATGGACAGACTTCTACTTCTTCTTCGTGCTCACCAGCTGTAACCTCAGCAGAAAGTTTTAGTTGTTTGTCCCTTTTAAGACTTCAGTCTTGTTCCATCTTGAATTTTGCATGCACATATGCTTTACAGTTCTGCTTATTTGAATTTTAATACAAATGTTGGGAACTGCCAGAACTCCCCAGTAAATGTTGTGAACAAATGTTCGGAATTCCTGAATGCCACCTTCCACATACGTGAAGCCTTCTATTGCCCGAGCCGTAATGTAATTTACACCAACTAACTGCAAGAGATGTGGCATCAAATACATCAGTGAAACGGGTTTACGACTGACTGACAGGTTCAGACAACATCTTTTAGAAGTGCAGAACGGTGCCCGGAAACCAGTACCACTGTATTTCACTTGCCATGACTACCATAACACAGAGGTGACAGCCATTAAATCTAGTCACTCCAGCGACAGAGTCCGCAAGTATCTTGAACATCGGTTTATTTACACCTTGGGAACTCTGGCCCCCAGTGGACTTAACTGCCAACACAGCTTTACCTAAACCCTAGGGGGCTGCACTACCTGCACAGTTTCATCTTATCCTTGAGTGACGGTCCCTGGCATATCCCCGGATGTCCATTTTCTAGACAACATGTGCCTCGCCAGACCATTGTCTTAACATCGACCCGGCTGCCACGAGATTCGAAGATAGGTGATATTGTGTATTTGTATAGTATTGTCCATTCTATGTATGTGCTGAGAAAAAAAAATAGGCTCCATAGCAGAAACGTTCACGTTTAGTTTGGGTTTGTTATACGGTGAAGCTCGCTGATATACTTTTCGTTCGGTTTCATATCTTTCCTTGCTTCGCTTATTTGAATGCAGACTGTTGGTTCGGCGACTATCATGCAGATGTGCTTCAACTTCGGAGGAAAACTCCTTGATTGGTCATCTTTAACTACATGCTTGATAGGGCGGTAGTTGACCTCTTCTCTCCCCCACCCTTCCCAGGCTTGACTTGTAAGTAGAAAGGAGCACTTTTGGGTTACACCCGTAGGCCATGATGTTAATCCACTAAATAAACATAAACATAAAGAAACAAACCCTAAGCCTTATTTAAATGCTCTGTAACAACAATAACTACTATTATTACTGTTATTATTATGTGCTGAATGGCAAATAAATATAATAATATATTTTTTAGGGGGACTAAATGAGGCTAAGCCTTGTTCAAGTGCTTAATAATAATAATGTTCTTCATGGTAAATAAACATAATACATATTTAAAATAATATATTATGATACGCATAAATGAAAGCTTAGAAGGAAAACATCTAAACATGGGGGGGGGGGGGGGGGGGGCTCAATGTATCAAAGCCCCAAGTTCTGGCTACCATGTTATTTTCATAGGAATATAATTATTATCTTTGTATTTATTGTAACCCTGAGGGTTGTATGTGATATTTTGTGAAAACGTCTACTACTACTACTGCTACTACTAATTTTACTTCTACTGCTGCTATTACTACTACTTCTACATCTGCTGCTACTACTTCTACATCTGCTGCTACTACTTCTACTGCTGCTGCTACTACTTCTACTGCTGCTGCTACTACTTCTACTGCTGCTGCTACTACTTCTACTGCTGCTGCTACTACTTCTACTGCTGCTGCTACTACTTCTACTGCTGCTGCTACTACTTCTACTGCTGCTGCTACTACATCTACTGCTGCTGCTTCTACTACTACTTCTACTGCTGCTGCTACTATTACTGCTGCTGCTGCTACTACTACTTCTACTACTACTTCTACTGCTGTTGCTACTACTACTACAACTGCTGCTGCGGCTGCTGCTGCTACTAGTGTGTTCACTGACTCCAGTTCCAAGTTGATTTCCAGCAGCCGAAAAGTCGTGGTATTTATAATATTATTAATATATTAAAGTAAAGAAGATATAGCCTACGAATATTGTTAATATACTGTTCATAATGAGAATAGCGTAACAATGAGAAAAAAGGCATACCAACAAGTGTATGTTTATTTTATGTTCAGCTAAAACATAGTTACCGTTTGCGTAAGATTTCTGCGTCATTTTCTGTCTGGCCGAACAATGGCTGTGAGAGGCGCTGCTGCAGAATTGGCTAGCGATGGTATGTAAGCGACGTGAGGCCGTCTGTGACATGAACAACGCCCTTGCATAGGTTTATAAACCGGCTGTGCGTGGAGTACCCACACGGCAGCTGGCTTTGTGTGTGTACGTGTATGAGGCCTGGATCGACTTGTTAGCCCGGGCCACTAAGTGGATATGATAACACTCGACGACACCTGAATGTGAGGTCACAAAACTGACTAGTCACCGTGATTAGACAGATACAGTTTTAGTGATCCCAGAGAATGACTTGGACAGGTGTCTTGTGTGCTTTACAGCGATGGTTACAGTTGCAGATGTGTGTTATATTCGATATCAGGGCCATTCCCCGCCCCTGACCCCCCCCCCCCCCCTTTTTGGTGTGATGTTGTCCAGGGGCGTTGACACAAAGAAAATAAGTAAATAGGAGAGGATTTGGGGTCAGGGGGTGGGGGGGGGGGCTGAGTCCTTTTATACTTTCCATGGTGCGAGAGTGCGGACCCTTCAGGGGCTTTGGGTGCTCAGCAATAATAATTATCATTATCGCTATGTGCTGGGCGGCAAATAAACATAACTATAAATCCGAAAATATTGAAATATAATAAACACCTTTTTTTTAAAAGGTCAAAACGTGGTTAGGTGGATCACTTACAGCCCCTGACATTTTCAAGTGAGCATTTGGAGGGAGGTAGGCAAACACCCCACCCATAAAATTATTCGGGGTAGGGCGGTTTAGGAAACCGCCTCTTCCCCGCCCCTTAAAGATGTGGGAGTTCAGGCTGGGGGTGTCTGAACCACCAGGTTGCGGCACTCTTGGTTCTGTGTTGAATGGAATCAAACTAAAAACAACTTTTAATGTCAACAGTGTGTTGTTTACAGATATGCCATGACACATACCTTATACAGCAATACATTGTAAGTGGCACAAAAATACAAGTGGGGTCGTATATTTTATTAGTTTAAATTCTTATGTTCATTTAAACCTAGACGTTTTATAACTGACGGACCTGGTTGACACTCATACTACAGCATGAGTCAGTACACAAATTGTATTCTGTTTTGTTTCTCGTCGTTGTTATGTCGGCACAGGAACTATATTGTCTGAGTCGGTGGGAATTGCAGAAGGTTTCAGATGGACAAATTTGGCACGAATGGATAGCAAGCCTTGCCACGTCAACATGACGAGGCTGGGTGACATTTCAGGAGTAAGAGTGTATGAACGTGGAATCAGGAGTGGATCGGACAAGGAGAGGCGTATGGAATGAAGAGAATATTTATAATCAGTGCGCTAAGGGAACAGTTTGCATCTACACCTTAAGACATTTGCTGTGGGAGACGGAGCATCTATGGGTGTGCCCGGGGTGCCATGATGTTAATTCTCTTATTAGTAATCAATCAGTAATGCATGCTGGTTTCTTTAAGGAAGCTACTATCATATTCTTGCGAAACTAAACTATTTGTGATTCACAGGTCATTATCAATATCCAGATTGACATTTGACCCAAAGCGGGCATACAGAGCCGCCTTCAGCTCTGTGAAAGTCTGTTTGCAGCTCCCCAGTTTGTGCATTAGATCGGACATCTCGGCATGGCAGATTCCCTTTGCGCGTTCAAGCTCCGCCTTGGCATCCTGAACAATCATATCCACAAGGACATTTCCAATGATATAGGTACCACAAAGTTAAAGGACATAACTCATGAACATAAACACCGAACTAACCCAAACTCGAAGCCATAAATACAAATAGTTGTTAAACATCATTTGTTACCACCAGGGCTTATGTCTAGGAACACTTAAGGTTCCGGTACTCAACATACGTATCTTTAAAAGGTGCTCGTACTCACCATAAAGTGTCTTTAAAAAGTGCATGTATTCACCATAAATTCGCTTTAAAGGTGCATGTACATCTCTACGGATGTGAGTCGTGGACTATCTCCCAGACTTTAAGAAAGAGAATAGGGGCTTTTGAGCTGAAATGCTACAGAAAGATTCTCAGAATATCTTGGACAAAGAAGAAGAGAAATATTGACATCTTGAAAGATCTGAACATCAGGGAAGATTGGCTAATAAACAGCATCCTGTCTCGGAAGCTAAAATATTTTGGTCATATCAAGCGCCACAATGGATTGGATAAAAATATAGCAGAAGGCATGGTACCAGGAAGGAGTGGCAGGGGCCGACCGATACGAATATGAGCACAGGATATAAGTGACTCCTTGAATATGAAAGTACATGAGGCGTGAGAACTGGCGAGAGACGGAGTTTCTTTCAGGCAGACTGTGATGAGAGCGACGTTCTGCAAAGGATCTGCTACATGATGATGATGGTGATGACTAACCATAAAGTGTCTGAACAAAGGTGTACGTACACTCACCACAGAGTGTTTTAAAAGGTAGATGTACTCGCCATAAAGTGTCTTTGAAAAGTTCTGGTACTCACTCTGAAAGGTTCTGGTACTCACTCTGAAAAGTTCTGGTACTTACTCTGAAAAGTTCTGGTACTCACTCTGAAAGGTTCTGGTACTCACCCAAATGACAAAAGCATTAAAAAAAATGATACATGAAAAATGATCCCGGTACTGCGCACCGTTGCGTACCGAAAAATGCCCTGGTGATAAAATACATCAGATATCCTAAATCTTATGTAGATCTTCGCTCCGGATTTGTTCACTTTGCCGTCTTTCAAGACGATAGTGTTATATTGTGCTACAGAGGAGCATGGCAACTGCAGCGATGGCGAGTGTGACAGCAAGACCCGCTCGGGTTGAGAAATGTCTTCTACAGTTAGTGGACCATTGTTATCATTACATGCCCTTAATGTGCTTCGTCTAAGACGTTCAGGTCTGAAACTATGTGCAATCATTTTATCCTCCCAGTTTCCCTCCCGAGTACCCACTTACATGCAGCACTGTCCGTGGCCTTTCGTTCCCACAAATCTTTCCAACTACCTGTATCATTCATATCCCGCTTGCACACATCTTTACATCGTATTAGAGCCGACCCGGACACCTTTTACACATCTGTAATTCATCATAGAGAATATTATTGTCGACTGCCATCCTCCATCTAGCGAGTGTGACCCTGCCGCCTCAGCCTTTGAAGACTGAGCATTGAAGAAACTGTAGTGGTGCTTGCTCTATCAAAGCTGGTCAAAAGACTGGCTTCTCCGCCAGTTCATCTGGATCATGGATTTTCGCGTCCAGATTGTGTTTAATGTTTATATTCGTCTTGGTGAACGCCCACTTTTTCTTTCGGAAACAGAAATGTCCCATACAGAACTGCGGGTTACACAAGTTCTCTTTTATTTATCTATTTCGTATTATTGCCAATATTTTATTTTTTCAAATGCCATTCAGCACACTGTTATTATTGTTATCAATTACGCACTGAACAAGGCTTATGCTCTGTTAGTCCCCCCACTCTCAGCGAATTCTTACTTTTGTCTTTCTTTCTGTTTGGGGTCTCAAGATGACTAAGCCGTGGGTTCAAATCCGCCTGGTGCCAGATTTGTTTCACCCTTAACCTCGACTCCTAGGGTACCGGGTAAAGTCATGAGAAGTAAAGGCGGTCTCGTTATGTTGACCACATTACCCATCGAGGTCTATAAGAAATATGGGTCAGCCATGTATGCCTGATGCGCCAGCGGCATTTAAAGGGACCTTTTACAGAACGACTAAACTTTCCGGCATTGCCGCTTGAAAGCTATGACGTCACACTGTAGTTATCACACGATTATCACTTGTATTGAAAGGATATGGAATCGTATCGTCGTCATCGCTGTAGATTATCATCTCATCTTCTGCAGACGACAGATTCTCTAACTCAGTCTTTTGTAGAGAAATTCGGGGGAGGGGGTGGCGGTGGGGATACAAAAACAAAAATCATGGTTAAGAAATGAACGCAGAATATATGAAGCATGGTAACTAAAGACACAAATGGACACACGTGAACGAGTTTATCAAAGTCTTTATCAACCAGTATTCTCTGTTTTAAAAAAAGGGGGATGGGGCGAGGATGCAATAATAGCTAGTTTCAATGGTGAAGTATTGCAATCACAATTCGTTGTTTTTTGGGTCCTGTTCACGCGTCCCAATTTCATTGAATTAATCGAGTAACAGACTTTTCCACGTCGGAGGGATGTCACATTGGCTTGCCTCCAATTACATCAGCACCGATGTCGCGTGTTCTACACTACACGACGACACAGCTTTCAACTACCCCAGAACATCTACAACTGGCCCTAAACTAAACCCCCCTTCCCACAGCCTGAGCCTAGGTCACACGAGAGACTCTTTTCGAGGAAAAAAAAAAACAGTACAACGTGACACCCTTCTGACTGACACCCCTCTGATCCTAGATTAGATGGGCCGGGAAACGTGAACAGGGCGTTATTTGTTAGATTTTATTTTTTTCTATGTAAACCATTCTTCTTCTTCCTCCTCTTTTTTCAAGGTTGCTGCAACTCAACAATTTTTAAAGTGAAAAAGGAAAAGCACACCCTACCCAAACTGAGGCGTATATTTGGTTGATTGTTCTAGACTCCTGTTCTACACTCGAAAAATGATGTAAATAATGTCCCGACCGTTGCCTCAACTTTAAAAGGAGTAGAAAATTATAGGGAAGAGAAAAAGTTTGTAAGAACAGACAGTTTGTTACAGATACAGAATGTTACAGATGAATGGATGCCTTGGAACGGTCAAAACGAGGACACATGACACCTCTAGACTATAGAAGTGTCCCGGGAAATTCCCTTCGAAATCACGTGACCGGCAGCGCGTACGGGGATTAATTGTCCTACACTGTGACTGTTTTCCTTAGTAGGCTTCAACATTTTGCTTTCATAGACTTTAACACAATTCCCAGAGGATACTTTATGTTAGACAACCTTGTTTCCATGATATCACAGCATACCGAAGACAAATCCTAAGCGAGCCCATAGGACTTTATCTGTTTCCCATGGTGAAGAGGTCAGATTCAGGTCGGTCAAATACTTCACAAAAAGTCCGGTCATGGTCGGATATTCAGTTTGATTACTTGTAGTATGGCGATGGAGATAGCAGCTGTCACATGGGCGTCTGCATGGCTAACGGAACAGAAAGTAGCTCACGCAATGATAGTGTCAGACTCAATGAGCATTCTGCTAGAAGATTCAAACTGGCAAGCTCCGACTTTGACAGAATCCAGAAGTTCTACCTCAGGAAACCATCCTGGCTGTGGCCTCGTCGTGGGTCGGGACCGTATCTGGCTCTCCTACGATCACATCAACACAGCAAGAGTTCTTTTCATGGCTTCTTGGTGGCGAGCTATATTAATTCATTTTAAATGACGCACATAGCCACAATTATAACCAAAAGCTCCCTGGTGGGGGACGCTGGCTAAACGTGACGATTTTTTGTTGCTGCTCAAAATCGGATCGGATGTACACACTAGGGTGAAAGGAGCCGGAAGAGCTGACAGACGTTAGTATGGACAAGGCAGATGTGCTGCGTTAAAGAGGCGTTGAGACAAAGTCAGAGACGATGAACCGCCTGTTGGTAATGGGTATAATGCTGGGATAGTCAATTCCTACCGGGTGCGGTGAGCGTGGAGACACTAAAATGGCTGCTGCTTTGAAGAACGAAGCACGAGTGGGTCGGACGGATGTGCTTGGATGTCCATACGACTAAGGTGAATATTGATTTAACAGTCTGCAGCATAGCACTGGGGTTATTCCTATAAGCGCTCCGTCCTCATCTTTAGCAGCAAGCGTAGAGTTCCAATTCTGATACTACCAGTAACAGTCGAACTGTATATCTCGTCTTTCCCTAGAGCAGATCCCCTGGACAAGTAACAAGGTTCTTCTCGGATGCATTTCTGCTAAAAGAGGATCAAGAATAAAACAATAGGCACTTACTCAGCATTACCTGTTTTGCCGTGAGTTCCTCTTTCAACTCCAAGAGCCGTGCACTGACCGCAGCGAAGCGACTGATTTTCTGCTGGTCTTCCAGGGTGACAGGATTCTGAAATAGATCACAGAGACATGATATCGGCGATGCAATTATAAATTAGATGTCTCCATCGATTATTTTAGACATCGAAGAAGCAATTAGAGAACAGAGATTTCGTTTTTGGCTGTGTATGCATCACCTTGCTTTAAAGCAGATGTTCTTTGAAAAGAGTCTGACTTTCTGCCTTTATATATTACTATATTACAAGTGTCTTTCATACAGTTTGGCCATGGTAATCAACATCTTCGGTATTCTAAAGTCCTTCATAGCATTCCAAAAACTGTTTCTATGTACACTATCAGATGCCTTTTTAAAATCAACAAACACATTATGTACATCTGTTCTATATTAACAGTTTTGCGCTCCTATTTGTCGTAAAAAAATTTTTCTGATCTATCGTTGATCTGTTCTGTCAGAAACCCGCTTGGTAATCTCCCAATATGTCTTCGACGTATGGTTTTTGTTTTTGGCCAGTTTAGCAGTACCGCCAATAGTATCTTATAACTTGTAGGTAATAGCGATATTCCTCTGTAATATTCATACTTATACTTGTCTCAGTTCTTAAAAATGTGTATTATTATAGACACTTTGCATTCATGAGATAATTTCTCCGTCTTCCAAACTTAGTTTTATTAATTCATATATCTTTACATGTATGACCACCTTCTTTTTTAAGTTTAGCTGCAATTCCATCAGCAACTGATACAGTATGAATAGATGAATTTTTGGCCTACTTTTAAATGTGAACAAGATAAGTAATTACTGAAAATGTCCAAAGTTAGCTACATGATCTCTAACAGCCTACAAACTAACATTTTGAATACTGGACGCCATCGTAGCAGTTGGCAACCGGAAGCTCTCATTCAGTGCTGGTCGTGACGGTGCGCGACAAGATTTGTGACTGATTAGTTCTTTTTTCCCCCCTTCTTCTTCTGCGTTCGTCATCAATCAATCAATCAGGTGCCGTCTCTACAATGAAGGTTGGCTGCAATGGATCTCCAACAAGCCCTGTCTCTTGCCCTTGATGTACACTCACTCATACTGCTGTTCGTCCATCTCTTGATGTTATCCTCCCACTTGTAACGCTGTCTGCCTTTTGCTCGCCTACCTTGAACCTTTCCCTCTAGGATGATCTTTACAATACTGTTATGTCTTTTAATGTGGCCAAAATATTTCACTTGTCTCTTTTTTATTTCACCTAGCAACTCTCTTTTCATTCCCAATTTTCTCAGTACCTCTGTATTTGATAGCTTTTGTTTCCATGAAATACGACCTAATCTTCTGTATATCAACATCTCCAAAGAATTTCCCAGTTGTTTGTTCATTGTCCATGTCTCTGTGCCATACAGTAAGGTTGAGAATACATAACATTTGACAATTCTCATTTTTAATGTATTGCTTATTTCTCTTGATGTCAGTAACTTTTGCATGTTGTTGAAAATGTTTTTGGCCATCCCTATTCTTTTCTTGACTTCTGTTTAACTTCTGCCGACACATGTTATTACTTGTCCAAGATATAAGAAATTTTTAACTTGTTCCAATTTGACCCCGTTCACTGTGATATTCATTGTTAGCTGATTATTTTCGTTCGACATCAGTCATGCTAAACATTGAGTCCCGTCTGGGTCACAAATAGGATTGTGCGTTTAAGGTCGCCCATAGCTTCTCTCGCAATGTGGATCCCCTGGGCCAGATCCCCTGGGCCAGATCCACAGTCTTTACTGGGCAGTAAGGGCAGTACTGCAGTATGTGCTTAGGGGTCTGTCTTTCTGCTCCACAATCACAGGCAGCAGATTCTTTTATGCCTATCCTGTACAGGTGTGCTCGAAGACCACAGTGTCCAGTCCGAAGTCTAAAAATTGATGTTTGTTCTTTCCTGTTGAGTTTGTTTATGCTGTTGACTGATTAGTGAGGGCCATCATCGCATCATCACAGCACTCCGGACAGATTGATAGGAGCTCCCATAGCACCAGTGGCCCCACAGGCTTAAAACGACTGTTTGACGTAACACAGCATATAGAAACAGGTCAAAACATAATGATTACATAATAACTCACATTCTTCCCCTTTTTCTCTTCCACCTTATACCTCAGTCTAAACCGAAACAATAAGGCCACACTGAACTTCTTAATGACTTGGAGAGAACAGTAATGGAATGTGTAGTTTCTGGAAGGAGAGGCAGGAATCGACCACACCAGGGTGGACACATGCTATCAAGGTTGTCTTAGGAATGATAGGTCACAAGGCAGGAGAGTTGGAAGTGACTTTTCCGCATGCCGCGATGAGAGTGACGTTCTGCAAAGGAACTGCAAAATGACGATGAACAGTAATGCAAGTTTCTTTTTATGTATAGCAGTAATCTTCTTCTTTTTCTTCGCCTTTACCAGTTGTAAACTCTGGTGGAAAGTTCTGGTTGCTCGTCCACTACTGAACTGCAGTCCTGCTCCAGAACCTGAGTGTTGCTTGTGCATCAGTTTTACAGATCTCATTTTTTTGAATACAGACTGTTGGTTCCTTGCCTCTCCGGCAGATGCACTCCGACTTCAAAGGAAGCTCCCCAATTAGTCGACTCTTACGACATGCTTTTGGGGAGGCAGTGGGTCTATTCTTGTTTTCCCCACAATGGGGCCCTGGAACCCACACGATGGATAGCATTAATCAAGAGCGGCATGGAAGTCACTGAGGGTAATATGCAGAAGGGAGAACTTGACTGCAGACGTAATCAAAGAAATGAATTACAACTGAACAAATAAACTGGCATCACTGCACTCGAGCCATTTCCATACGGGCTCTGTCTCTTTCCTCTGTAGACACCGAACAGTTCCCATAATAATGATGCCAGTTACAGCCTGCTTAAAAGTCCGCTTGTCTTTTTCCCTGTGCATTAGAAACTATGCAGACCCTTTGCTCACTCCCTGAGTAGATAACGCATTTCGTTTGAAAAAGCGGAGAGTGTAGTCAAGCATCAATTTAGAGGTCTCGGGTAATTAGTATCCTTTGGATATTTTCTCAAGGTGGTGCTTGTGTGTTGGGAAATGAGCAGGCAGGTAGATTGGGCGGTTCTGCACCACTTGGTGGTGAATTAATGTATGACAAGCTAGACGTTGTGAGACTCTCTGGGAGCGAGTGAACAGTGCGGAAGCGCTATTAGATCATTACGGTCTGAGGAGAATGGTGCTGCGAGGAGTTTCCAGTGAATCTCAACACTTAAGGGAAGGATGAAGACAGATATATCGTTAGACAGCACGGCCTTCCCCAGTCTATATATCTAAAGATGGCCGTGTTAGACAGTAACTGATGCATACGGAATTAGAGCTCTTCTGCTGAGAAAGCTAATGCTATTAATTAATTAATTAAACTTTCAACAAAAGTGTTTTTAAAATTTTGCCGAAATGTCGCCTTAACGAACAGTAAATCTTTTGATAGAGAGTTTTATTTTAGTGGCGATGCTCTCCGTTGAAAAAGTTTCGTATTTGAAAACACAAACAGTCTCTGTCTGTAGAACAAGGCAGGAGACACGGCGTTAAAATTCTCATATTAGTTGCTTTTCGTTTCATTAAGTCTGTCAGTTTCTCTGCAGTGAGAGAGAAAATGTTGTCCAGTGTTTCCAAGCTGTCAAGGACGATGGTGCGCGACAGGGTGAAAGTCATATTATCAAGGACCCTACAGACGGGTTCTGCTGCGTCATCACCAACCGTCGCCGCAACCAAAAGCAATGAACAAGGTACACATATAATCATATAATCATAGATTAGATAGAATAAATTACAATAGCTACATTCTTGATAAATGATTGACTAGTACTAGTAAGTAAATGGCGAGTCGACCGTAGAAGCAGTAATGTCATAACTAATATTTACATTTGGCTCTCCTTTGAATAACATAACTGTCCCAAATGATCTACACAGAAAGTAAACCCAAACAGAGCCTCACACATATCTAAAATTCGCATTTCTTTTGCGGCGATTCAACCGTGTCAAAAGTAGGATTTATTGCGCACGGCATTTTTTGAAATGCAGCTAATTTTTTTACGGCGATTACACGGCGGGAAAACAAGAATTAACTACGGACGAAAAAAATTAGCGACACGCGAGAATACTCCCGATAGCGCTATCCTATGGCAGGTCCCGAGTTTTGTGTAAGTTGCGGACCGCTTTTCGCCGACTATAGTGCCACCTCAGCGAGTATCCCCGCGCCGCTACGTGCGGCATGGAATGGGCTTAACTAGATGGCTAGGACTCACGAGCAGCAGCTACTGCAGCTCCGGCAGCTTCCTCCAATGTATTTGTTTGTGAGTCCTAGCCATCTAGTTTAGCCCCTTCCTATCCCCTTCGGGGGATAGACAAATAATAATATTATTTAATTTGTATTTATTTTTGTTATCAATATTCAGTATTATAACAATAAATAGAATGCTAGTCAAGTTTTATTCGGCTTGCTAATAGATCCAAAGCAGAAGTGAGAAGACGCCAATTTCTTTTTCAGGTGCGCAGTAGACACATTGCAACTCTGGGCTGTCTTCCGAAAACGGTCTGAAATCGAGGCAGAAAATATACCTTAACAGGGCCTCAGTCATGTGTCAATTGCGAACTTCCGGGGACTATACCGCCACTGCCGAGAGTATCCCCACGCCACTCAAGCGGCGTTGATTGGAGCTAAACTATATGGCGGGGACTCACGAGCAAATAAAATTAAGGCAGCTGCAGGGAATGCGGTTGCTGCTGCTCGTGAGTCCCAGCCATCTAGTTTAGCCCCAATCCACGCCGCGTGAGCGGCATGGGAGACGTGCACAATTTAAGCCGCCGGAAGTGCGCAATTGACAAGTGACTGAGGCCCTGTTAAGGTATATATTCTGCCTTGATAATTTTGGACCGTTATTCGGAAGATAGCCCAACTCTGAAAACAGTGCTGCATTGACCATCATTGAGAAACTACAAGGTCTGACAATTAAGTAAGACAATTTCCATAACAATTAAAATAATCAACAGTTAAAGATATAACCTGTATTTTATTCAAAGTAAGCCCCTTGTGCATTGATACAATGAGTAGCACGATCTAACAAACACGGGTACGACCTATGTAGTTCTTCTATCGTTATGGCCCTTAAAGTCGATGATGTTACTGCCCTTTGAATCTCATCAAAATCGTCAAAGAAGCTTCCTTTAAATGGTAACTTTAATTTTGGGAATAGGAAATAATCACATGAAGACAAACATGGGGAATAGAGTGGCTGGTTGAGAAACATACTTGTTATGTGGCTAAAAATTCCTGTTTTGATAATGTCTCATGGGTACTCAACCCACTGCTGATGTTTTTGGTTATCAGACAGCGAATGCGGTACACCTGCAAGCAACTTTTTTCTTGCCAAAATCTTGCACTAAAATTTTACAAAGGGTCTCTCTATTAACACCAGATTCATCTGCCATCATCCTGACAGTAAAACAAGGGTCTTTTTGTATCCGTTCTGTGACTTTTGCAATGAGTTCATCATTACAAACAGAAATTGGGCGTCCATGTCTAGTTGCATTAGTGATCATTTCTACACCACTTTTGAATCGTGAATACCACCTGAAAATCTGGGCACCAGATAAAAAAATTATCACTATAAACTTGTCACATCAACTGTCTCAAGGTTTTTTTTTTCAAATTATAAAACATAATTTAATGTTAGCTTTTTGCTCCATGGTGTGGCGCGGTGATTTCGGTCACAGGCATGAGGGGAAGTTAAGTCTGATGTGATGTGTATAAGGAGATATTCCGTACCCCACTCGGGCGCCAGTCCTTCACTGTTCTGGTTTTACGGAACCTCATGCAAGACTCCTGTTGCACGTCCCCGTCGTGCGCCACGGATAATGTCTCAAATGAGCATTAACAGAGTTGGCAGGGGATCTCGGAGCTGGCGGCCCCCAGAGGTGTAGAGTCCTTCCTGGCTCTCACCAGCCCGCCCCCAAACGCATGGGTGAAAAGTAACAAAACTCAAGGACTGCTTGCTAAATGTACCATCAAATGACAACTTTTGGTTAAAATTCGGGAGCGAATGGAAAACTGTGCTGCTGAGGCTCAACCCCAACCGAGAGATTTACCCGCAGCCAAGACGAGTAACATCTCTTGTGGGCGACTTCTCGCAGCAAGATCCTACCTACGTACATCCTCTGTCAATCCTCAGTGTCGTCGTCACCGCGCTGAGGTACACCATGGCAGCAACTATTCATATGCTGGCTTGAAAACAATGTCCGACAAAGTTACACCCCACGGCACACATGCAAGCTCAAAGTCCGACGATCATAACTCGTACCGATTAGGAAAAGTCTGAATGTCCGCATCCACTGGTCCAACTCGCCCGAGTGTTGGGACCAAACAGGTGAAGCCACGCCTGACGCATTTTGCTTCCTCATTCTGTCGTGCTAAGGGCACAGCTGAAACAACGTTAAAGGTGTCTAACGTAAGATGAAAAAGAATGTACCTATTTGTGTGGCCACAAACGTCCTAGACCTGCGAGCTGCTCCCTGCTGATCTCCGGAGAGCGCAGCCTTGTAGCGCGGGAAGCTCAATACACGGTTGTGAGGTTAAGCAGTCATGGGCAGGACGTGACGATTCCTTGGGTGAGCCCAGAACCAGAGCATCATGTGTCGGCTCTGCATTTATGGAAGCCTCCTTGGATGGCGGGGAATGCCCATGATCTGCCCCTGCCTTCCCTTGAGGGTTGAAAACTCTACATAGAGCTGCCTTAAGGACGACATGCCGGGGCCCACACTTGTTAAAAGTCAAAGAGGACACCACACAAATAAGGCAACATCTCGACCCACACAAAACAATGGCCACAGTCAACCTAGAAATAGGCTTGACGTCTTCCTCCGAAGTCGGAGTACATCTGCCGGAGAGGCGGGGAACGAGTACTGCAAACAAATAAGCCAGTAAAACGGATGTACACGCAAAACTCAGGTCAAGGTAAAAGCCAAAAGTCCATTTTGGACGAACAACCGTGACTTACCGCCGGAATTCACAGCCGGTGAACAAGAAGAAGAAAGAAGAAGAAGCTCCATGGTGATTTCGTAACAATGCACACTTAACTAGGTCAATAAAATGGTGGCTTGTTTGTTGTCTGCTTATCAGGCAGCGATGCAAAGTTGCCAGATCATGGATGAAGGTTGCCTCTTTGGATTCCATGCTTTGCTTCATAGATAGCACTTTTGTCTTGGCCATAATAAAATCAGTCTCATTACTTAATTGTCGGACCTTGTATTTAAAATTTCCCCTACTCTTTACAAGAAAACTCATATCGAGACAGTTTCACCAATTAATAAGAGTTATTGCAGAGATACTGTGACATAACATGGTTTTGTAAAGCGAATGATAAATCAGCAAACCAATCTATAAGCCCGTCTGGCTAATTTAGAAGATATTTAGGAATTTACTTACTGTGAAATACACTGCGTGCTGCAAAAAAAATAATTAGTTTTTCCATTAATGCACCAAAATCCTGTTAGGTCATGGCCTGGCATCTCTGCAATAAATCCTAATAATTACTTGATATGATTTTTCATGTAAAGAGTATAGAAAAAATAGTTTGTCAGTGAGGGTCAGTGCTCCCTTTTTTCATGGCTGCAATATGTTCGAGTGCGTGTGATGGAAGAGGCAGATTTAATGGCCGATAAGCATCCCTGACAATCATCAGCTTTGGTTAGCGACAATGAAGATGCTGACATTAAATTGGAAATAATTATTTGTTACATGTAAATAAACAGATGGAACATTGCTATATAGGTGGGTTTGTGTGTATGTTTAAAGTTTTGTATGTGCATGTGCGAGAGAGAGGTGTGGGAATTTGGTTTATGTAAGTGCATTTAGTATGGCCTAGTTTGTTGGTTAACAATAGCTTGTAGACACAGATGACAGCTTTCTGTATATTGTAACTGATAAACTTGTTGACTTCATGTTTCGTGTCAAGATGCTGGAGCCACACAGATCCCCAAAGAGCTGCCTCCCAAAGACATGAGGCCCCTCTATTTAGATGCCCAGGCAACAACACCTTTGGTAAGATTGGGAATCTTTTAGACATCACTAATAAATGTATGAGTGAGTGTACATCAAGGGCAAGAGACAGGGCTTGTTGGAGATCCATTGCAGCCAGCCTTCATTGTGAAGATGGCACCTGATTGATTAAATAAATGTCATTTGCTTTGGATGAGAATCAGTCAGGTAGGAGATGAAAGATACCTCCTGACATCCGCTGCCTACAGGACACCCCAGTAGCATGAGGAGAGTACCTGCTTAACCCCTGCCCTTACCCCTTACCATCACTTCAAACAAGACTGGGGCAAGACAGTTTGCCAGTAAATAGAAAACAAAGAATAAAATTAGCCCGGGGCCCTATTATTGAGAAAACAAGAATAGACCAACTGCCTACCCAAAAGCATGTCGTAAGAGTCGACTAATTGGGAGCTTTCTTCAAAGTGGGGGTGCATCTGCCTGAGAGGCAAGGAACCAGCAGTCTGCATACAGATAAGTCAGATCTGTAAAACGGATGCACATGCAACACTCAGGTTCTGGAACAGGACTGCAGTCCAGAAGTGGATGAACAGCCAGAACTTTCCGCCAGAGTTGGTGAACGCGAAGAAGATGAAGAAAGAATACAATTGCAGAGGGCTGTATAAAATACTTAGCTAGTTTAGAAAAGGCAGACTATTAATAATTATAACATATACAATGCTAAATAAAATATATGTAGTGCTAAAGAAGTCAAAACAACAGATGGCAAAAGAAATTGCGTACAAAGACAAAGAAGACATTCTAGAAGAAAATATGCCCAATACATTCCAAGCTGTGAAAAGGGGCACACAAAAAAAAATGATCTACCTGTCTCCTGGTAAATTATTTCTGCCTTGAAAAAAACCCATTTTGTTCCAGATAGAATATATTTTTGTGCACACAGGAATTTTCTTTGTCATTATTTTACACTGAATGTGAAATATGAGTTTTTGCCGCTGTTCTCACATGTGGATATGTTGTGTTGACAGGACCCACGTGTCCTAGACAAGATGATGCCCTACCTGGTCGGCCAGTATGGAAATCCCCACTCCAGGACCCACGCCTATGGCTGGGAGAGTGAGGCAGCGGTGGAACTTGCTCGCAAGGTTTGCTTGATCTTGCTATCAGTGTTGATGTAATTTCTTCTTCTTTTTCTTTTCCTCCTCTTCATCCTCCTTATTTTCTTCCTCTTCTTCTTTGCCTCCTCCTTATCCTCCATCTTCATTTGCAGTTGAATGTCAAATGTATTTAAATAAAGCAGCAGACAATTTCATATTGTTTAAATCTTCAAAGAGTTGACATTTTTATATCATGTGTCCTGAAAGGGAGCAGGTTTAGGCCAGACTAATTGTCTCTGCTCTGTATAAATTGGACCCCTTAGTAAATGCATACCCTATATTTTACCTATTGCAGGACTTTTGTTTGTTGCACTCTCTACAGGTAGAGTAAGAAAAACTAACATGATACAACATGGCTGTTAATTTTGATTTCAAATGGTGTGTAGCTTCATAATTGTGGGAAGTAAGGGAGTTCTTTGGTAGGCAGCTCTAGGTATTCCTTTGTGGTTATATTGTGGATCTCTTGATTAGTGAATGCATTTAACAATTTCATAATCCTAAAACACTAAGGTACAATTTCTGCAGTGGGTGATTTAAAAATCCCCCACTGTTTTCATGGTTTTCAAATAAAAGTACCAGAGCCCTACCATTGGAAGGGATTGGGATCTCACCTGGTAATATCCTCATCGACAGCAACTAGTGCACTCTAGCCTGCCTTCGTTGTGAAGATAGCACTCAATTGGCTTTTATTGTTTCAGTGATCTAAAGTTGTCCGAGCGATGGTCGTGGACTTCTGCTTGGAGAAGCTGTATTCTATGAGAGATAGCTTTAAAGTTCTCACTAGTCAGGAGAGTTCCCAGGGCCCGGGGAGGGGGGGGGGGGATAGACCCACTGCCTCCACCCGAGCATGCATGTTGTAAAAAGCAACTAATTTCCTTCAAATTTGGAGTGCATCTGCCTGAGAGGTGAGAAACCAGTAGCTGCATACTAATAAGCCAGATCTGTGAAACAGATCATCAGTCATCAGTTCTCGTTATGCCTAGTGGCACATGAGGCTTCAGAGAGGACTTTCCATGCTTTCCTGTCCTGTGCAATCTTCAGTGCAGTTTTCCATGTCAAAGATGCCGCACTCAGGTCACTTTCCATCGTTCGTCTCCATGTTGTTTTTGGGCGCCCATGTTTTCTCTTTCCCTCTGGTGTCCATGTGAGAGCTGTTTTGGCAGGTATATAAGAAGTCATTCTCATAACGTGGCCAAGCCATTTCCATCTTCTCTTGGTTTTCATTCTGTCTAAAGTTTCTTGGTTTGTGGCTTGAAGTAGTTTAGTGTTTAAGATTGTATCTGGCCAGAAAATTTTGATAATTCTACATAGACATGTGTGGTGGAAGGTGGACAGCTTGTGTGCATCCTTTTTAGTCATTCTCCAGCATTCCGCTCCATAAAGAAGAACTGGCAAAATGATGCGTCTGAGTTTCGTTCCTCTGCAGTAATTGTTGGATTTTCAGATTTGCCTCATCCTTCCAAAAGCAGCTCTAGCTTTGTTCAGACGTTACTGTATGTCTTCCTCTGTCCCTCCCAGTAGGGACACCACACTGCCAAGATATGTGAAATGTTCTACATTTTCAAGTGATTGGTTACTTATGGTCACCGGTTGTTGGTTTGGACTGTTTGTCATGATCTTAGTTTTCTTTGTATTTATTCTCAGTCCCACCATTTCTGCTGTGCAGTTTAGTCTGTTACTTTTCTCTTGTATATGTTCATGTTTATGTGATAGGAGTGCTATATCATCTGCAAAATCAAGGTCCTCAAGCATGGTGAATCGAGTCCATCGTATGCCTCTTAATGTCCTGTCTACTGTGTTCTTTAGTATCCAATCAATCACAAGGTTACGGAGGAGAGATGACATAACACATCCCTGTCTTACACCCGTCTTTACTGGGAAAGATGTATTTTAATTTTTTATACTGCAGGAAAAGTCTTTGAAGAAGAGAGCAATTATGTTGACTATTTTTTCTGGAATTTCATAATGTCGTAAAATTTTCCTCAGACCGTCTCTATGGACACTGTCAAAAGCTTTCTCAAAGTCCGCAAAATTAATATATATACTTCTCTGCCATTCGTTGCATTATTCTAAAATGTTCGGTATGTCAAAGTGAAACAGATGTGCATGCAAAATTCAACAGGATCAAAGTCCAGAAGTGAATGAACAACCAGAACTTTTCACCGGAGTTGACAGCCGGTGAAAGCAAGTCAGAAGAAGAGACTAGCCAGTGCTTGCTCCAGACCAAGAAGATGAAGAAGACAAGAATGAGCTTATTTTCACATGCCACGATGATTGTGTTGATTCAGGGATCAGACTTGCTGGGAAGATAACCTGTGACTGTTGTGTGGTTTCAGCAAGTTGCACATCTCGTTGGTGCCGACCCCAGGGAGATCATCTTCACAAGTGGAGCTACAGAATCCAACAACATCAGCATCAAGGGTGTGGCCAGGTTTTACAAGAGCAAGAAAAATCACATCATCACCACACAGACGGTGAGTTGTTAACCTGGCTATCACAGCTGAGGTGGTGAGTTAACATAGTGTGCTATCACATGGAGTTGTTAACATAACCTGGCTATCACAGCAGGGGTGGTGAGTTAACATAGTGTGCACTCACAGTGAGTTAACATAACCTAGCCATCTTACATAAGTGGTAAGTATTTAACAAAACCTGGCTATCGCAGCAGAGGTGGTGAGTTTGCATAATGTGCTATCACAGCACAGGCGCGGTGAGTTGTTAACATAACCTGGCCATCACAGCATAGACGGTAAGTTGTTAACATAACCTCTCCTCATGACACAGATGTTAAGTTAGCATAGCCTGCCAACCTTGCACAGATAGTAAGTTAACATAACCTGGCCACCAGTTTCCTCCTCCTTGTTTTTGTGGTCACTTTCCTTAATCACACTGACAGTCGAGTTTTAAAATGTATCTGAATGTGTATTCATCCATACTGGCCAGAGTTGCATGTTCTCTTCAAGCTTAAATAATGTGGATTATTAGTGGCTGTTCTAAGGCCATAATCCATAATTTTAATGGCACAGTGTTAGTGAGGTTATCTAGTGATTGTAGAATTTCTGTGGTAATCACAACCAGAACAAGGCAATATTTCAAATTATATTACATAGGTGTCTTAAATAAATAATTACTGGGGGCCTCTGAAGCGATGCGTGACACTGCACTTAGCAAGTGTTACAGTCACAACATGCTTTGCAAGTGAACTTTCATAATCTGCGTCTCCATAGGAGCACAAGTGTGTCTTGGATTCCTGTCGGTCACTGGAGTCTGAGGGCTTTGATGTGACATACCTACCTGTGCTGCATAACGGAATCATTGACTTGAAGGTAAGACCCGTTTTTTTGATTGTCCGGTGTGTTATGTCATCATCACCTTGCTGTGCCGATATACATAGGACACAGAGTCTGTTCCTCTATGGCATTCTGTTTTGTGCAGTTTGTTTTATCCATATCATTGATAGAATTCAGACCAACACAGTGGGTCTCTCATCAGTGTCTGTCTTAATTTTGTTTCATCCATATCATTGATGGACTTCAGTCCAACACAGTGGGTCTCTCATCAGTGTCTGTCTTAGGTTTTTTTTTTAAAAATTTCTTGTTTCCTCAATCCATTTGTGACTTACATGCACACATATATTAGGATTCTCTGTCTAATTTTATACTGTTATATACATACACAGACAGACTTGACCGATCAGAGAGGAAACATTGACATAGTCTACAGAGAAAGCTATTGATGACACAGACAGATGACTGATCAGACAGGAAACATTGACATAGTCTACAGAGAAAGTTATTGATGACACAGACAGATGTGACTGATCAGACAGGAAACATTGACATAGTCTACAGAGAAAGTTATTGATGACACAGAGAGACTTGACTGATCAGACAGGAAACATTGACATAGTCTACAGAGAAAGCTATTGATGACACAGACAGACATGACTGATCACAGATGAAACATTGACATAGTCTACAGAGAAAGCTATTGATGACACAGACGTGACTGATCACAGATGAAACATTGACATAGTCTACAGAGAAAGCTATTGATGACACAGACAGATGACTGATCAGACAGGAAACATTGACATAGTCTACAGAGAAAGCTATTGATGACACAGACAGACTTGACTGATCAGACAGGAAACATTGACATAGTCTACAGAGAAAGCTATTGATGACACAGACAGACTTGACTGATCACAGATGAAACATTGATATTGTCTACAGAGAAAGCTATTGATGACACAGACAGACATGACTGATCACAGATGAAACATTGACATAGTTTACAGAGAAAGCTATTGATGACACAGACATACATGACTGATCAGAGTGGAAACATTGACATAGTCTACAGAGAAGGTTGTAGATGACACTGACAGATTTGACTGATCACAGATGAAACATTGACATAGTCTACAGAGAAGGTTGTAGATGACACTGACAGATTTGACTGATCAGAGATGAAACATTGACAGAGAAGGTTTAGGGTTTAGATGACTCTTAACACCTTGTCTCCTGTCTTATGTTTAGGAGCTAGAGAGCAGTATTCGCCCAGAGACAGTTCTTGTTTCTGTCATGACCGTCAATAATGAGATTGGTGTCCGACAGCCCATTGAGGAAATCGGTGAGTTGATGTGCGGTCCAGAAAGTGTATCATGTAGCAAAAATGTGACTTGATGCTTTTTAGGTCCCAATTATGTCATTTCTGTTAATTTTATGCTATGTGAAATGTCACTCTGTCATTTATGTTAATTTCCTATAGTGTGAAATATCACTTTTATGTCGTTTATGTTTGTTTGAGGTCATTTATGATTTTCTAAAATCATTCATGCTACTTTAGCCAAAAATGCCAATCTGATGTCATTTATGTTAATTTCATAGGGCATATCACTCTATCACTTTCTGTTACTTTTGTCATATTAAATGTCGTACTGGTGTAATTTATGTTTCTCTGATGTCATTATGATTCTTTGATGTCATTTATGTTACTTTAATATGAAATATAACTCTGATCTCATTTATGTTATTTTGATATGAAATGCCACACTGATGTAATTTACATTGCTTTTAAGTCATATTAAATGTCACTCTGTCATTTATGTTTCTGTGATGTTAGTGACATCATGTGAAATGTCACTTCTCTTGTGCTTATGTCTGTGTTTGTTACAGGAGCGCTGTGCCATTCAAAGAAAGTTTTCTTCCACACGGACGCAGCTCAGGCGGTCGGCAAAATCCCCCTGGATGTCAACAGCATGAACATTGACCTGATGTCCATCAGCGGACACAAAATTTATGGCCCTAAGGGTGAGTCACTTCCAAGTCTCCTGTTCAAATCTAGTCAGTTTGGATCCCAAGTTTATGGCCCTAAGGGTGAGTCACTTCCAAGTCTCCTGTTCAAATCTAGTCAATTTGGATCCCATGTTTATGGCCCTAAGGGTGAGTCACTTCCAAGTCTCCTGTTCAAATCTGGTCAGTTTGGATCCCAAGTTTATGGCCCTAAGGGTGAGTCACTTCCAAGTCTCCTGTTCAAATCTGGTCAGTTTGGATCCCATGTTTATGGCCCTAAGGGTGAGTCACTTCCAAGTCTCCTGTTCAAATCTGGTCAGTTTGGATCCCAAGTTTATGGCCCTAAGGGTGAGTCACTTCCAAGTCTCCTGTTCAAATCTAGTCAATTTGGATCCCAAGTTTATGGCCCTAAGGGTGAGTCACTTCCAAGTCTCCTGTTCAAATCTAGTCAATTTGGATCCCAAGTTTATGGCCCTAAGGGTGAGTCACTTCCAAGTCTCCTGTTCAAATCTAGTCAGTTTCTAATCGAATAAAGGTTTGGATCCCAAGTTATGGGGGGGGGGGGGGATTGGTTCAATGCCCTACAATGGCTATTTAGCTGGGGGGGCCCCTAAGTCAAATCTGGCGTGCAAATGCCCAGCAATTGGCCTGCGGTTAATTGCCATTTGTATTGTATTGATGACTTTGGCTGGGACCTCTGACATACGGACGAGCTCCATGTGGAAGATTGTGGCCCCTGGAGTAAACGTAGCTGCATAACCCTGACCTATCACAAGCATGTTATAAAAAGCCACTAAAGGTTTGCTGAAACTGGATGTGTTGCCCTGAAACATGCAGATACTGCAGCTTAGCTGTGAACTACAACAATGTGCCAGCCACCCTTTTAATGACAGATAAGGGGGGGGGGGGCAAATAAAGAAATCTATGCTTAGATTTTTCTTTAAATATTGTTACTATTATCAATGAATAACCAAGTATTGGGACGGCTATCTCACCCTTTTACAACACAAGACAATCCCAGTCAGCACAAAGAAACGAAAGCATATTCATTCTCATCCTGCGCTGCCAGTGCTAGACATGGTCACTCACAAAATACAGATAATAAAACTAGTAGCCATAGAAACCAGGTGTCTCAGGAGGGTTGCAGGAGTGACCAGAAAAGATAGCATCAGGATAGCATGTTATGACCTCTTTGAGAAGTCAGCACAGAACCAGTTGTAAATAACATACACAGACAGCAAGTCATATGGTTTGTACACTTTTAGAGAATGCCTTGTGACGCCATACCATACAAGGCATACACAAAAAGAGAAGGATGTAGATTGTGAGGTAGACCAAGAACAAGATGGAAAGATAACATCAGAGAATCCCTACAATAGCACAGTGTGTCTATGTCAAGGCAGCCTGAAAAGTCAGAAGCAGAACCTTATGTCTCCCTCGACACCTGAAGATGAAGCTCAGCAAATATGATCCTGGGTGATCTGGTCACTAACAGACTAGCAAGTCACAATTATCTCAGTTCTGTACTGTGGTAGCAAATAGCAGCTGCCATCAGGTGGCACATTCACAGGCTGCTCTGGTTCAAGAATGGCTGTGAGTCACATCCACTGGTCTTGTGTTCACTTTAACCCTTCTCTTGACATGAGACTTCTTTCATTCATGGTCGGGGGTTGAGCGGTGCTTAACCACCTTTTATTCACAGTCAGGGATGGAGCGGTGCGTAACCATTCACGATCAGGGATGGAGCGGTGCTCAACTATTCACGGTCAGGGATGGAGCCGTGCATAACCATTCATGGTCAGGGGTGGAGCTGTGCTTAACCATTTTTCATTCACGGTCAGGGGTGGAGCAGTGCTTAACCACCTTTCATTCACAGTCAGGGGTGGAGCGGTGCTTAACCACCTTTCATTCACGGTCAGGGGTGGAGTGGTGCTTAGCCACTTTTCATTCAGTCAAGGATGGAGCTGTGCTCAAGCATTCACGGTCAGGGATGGAGTGGTGCTTAACCATTTATGGTCAGGGATGGGGCGGTGCTTAACCACCTTTCATTCATAGTGAGGGGTGGAGTGGTGCTTAACCATTTATGGTCAGGGGTTTGGCGGTGCTTAACCACCTTTCATTCATGGTCAGGGGTTGGGTGGTGCTTAACCACCTTTCATTCATGGTCAGGGGTGGGGCGGTGCTTAACCACCTTTCATTCATGGTCAGGGGTGGGGGGGGGTGCTTAACCACCTTTCATTCATGGTCAGGGGTGGGGTGGTGCTTAACCACCTTTCATTCATGGTCAGGGGTTTGACGGTGCTTAACCACCTTTTATTCATGGTCAGGGGTTGGGTGGTGCTTAACCACCTTTCATTCATGGTCAGGGGTGTGGCGGTGCTTGACCACCTTTCATTCATGGTCAGGGGTGAGGTGGTGCTTAACCACCTTTCATTCACGGTCAGGGTGGAGCGGTGCTTAACCAACCATCTTTAAAGTAGGAGTTGACTATTTGGGAGCTTCCTTTAAAGTCAGAGTTGACCAATTGGGAGCTTCCTTTAAAGTCAGAGTTGACCAATTGGGAGCTTCCTTTAAAGTCAGAGTTGACCAATTGGGAGCTTCCTTTAAAGTCAGAGTTGACCAATTGGGAGCTTTCTTTAAAGTCAGAGTTGACTAATTGGGAGTTTCCTTTAAAGTCAGAGTTGACTAATTGGGAGCTTCCTATAAAGTCAGAGTTGACTAATTTGGAGCTTCCTTTAAAGTCAGAGTTGACTAACTGGGAGCTTCCTTTAAAGTCAGAGTTGACTAATTGGGAGCTTCCTTTAAAGTCAGAGTTGACCAATTGGGAGCTTCCTTTAAAGTCGGAGTTGACTAATTGGGAGCTTCCTTTAAAGTCGGAGTTGACTAATTGGGAGCTTCCTTTAAAGTCGGAGTTGACCAATTGGGAGCTTCCTTCAAAGTCAGAGTTGACTAATTGGGAGCTTCCTTTAAAGTCAGAGTTGACTAATTGGGAGCTTCCTTTAAAGTCGGAGTTGACCAATTGGGAGCTTCCTTTAAAGTCAACCAATTGGGAGCTTCCTTTAAAGTCGGAGTTGACTAATTGGGAGCTTCCTTTAAAGTCGGAGTTGACCAATTGGGAGCTTCCTTTAAAGTCAGAGTTGACTAATTGGGAGCTTCCTTTAAAGTCGGAATTGACTAATTGGGAGCTTCCTTTAAAGTCGGAGTTGACCAATTGGGAGCTTCCTTTAAAGTCAGAGTTGACTAATTGGGAGCTTCCTTTAAAGTCAGAGTTGACCAATTGGGAGCTTCCTTTAAAGTCGGAGTTGACTAATTGGGAGCTTCCTTTAAAGTCGGAGTTGACTAATTGGGAGCTTCCTTCAAAGTCGGAGTTGACTAATTGGGAGCTTCCTTCAAAGTCAGAGTTGACTAATTGGGAGCTTCCTTTAAAGTCGGAGTTGACCAATTGGGAGCTTCCTTTAAAGTCAGAGTTGACTAATTGGGAGCTTCCTTTAAAGTCGGAGTTGACTAATTGGGAGCTTCCTTTAAAGTCGGACTGCATCTGCCCGTGAGGCGAGAACCACAGATAAGGATAGACAAAAGCCAGATCTGTCAAAGGGATGTGCACACAAAACTCAATGTCTAGATCCAGACTAAAGTCCGGACATGATCAGACAACCAGAACTTTTGGCCAGAGTTTACAATCGGTGAATGTGAACAAGAAGAAGAGGTTGTTACAGTATCACCTGGTGGATTCTTGCAGGTGTAATGTTTTCTTTGTTGCAGGTGTAGGGGCCCTCTATGTTCGCAGACGGCCCCGCGTGCGACTAGAAGCTTTACAGAGTGGTGGGGGTCAAGAGCGGGGCATGAGAAGCGGCACAGTACCCACCCCTTTAGTTGTTGGCATCGGGTCCGCTTGTGAACTTGCAGAAGAGGAAATGGCTGTAAGTGACCAGTTTTAATGTTCTGTATTTTTTTTCCCAGTTTATTCTTGCCATCTCTGCACCTTTTAACATTCTGCTTGTTTATTTTGCCACTTTTTTTAAAACTCAGTCTCGTTGCTTGCATATTTTACTCGTTCTTTTTTCCCTTTGTCTTTTTACTCATTATTGTCGTCTCTTTCGTTTTTGTTGCCTCCATCTTTTTACTTATTATTGTTGTCGCTATGTTTTTTTACTTGTTTTTGTTGCCTCAATTTTTTTTTACTTGTTCTTGTTGCCTCCATTATTTTACTCATTATTTTTGTCACTCTATTTTTTTACTTGTTTTTGTTGCCTCAAATTTTTTTTACTCGTTCTTGTTGCCTCCAATATTTTACTCATTATTGTTGTCTTTCTATTTTTTGCTTGTTTGTGTTGCTTCTCTTTGTTTTGCTTATTCTTGTTGCCTTTATCTTTTAATCGTTCTTATTGCCTCCATATTTTTACTTATTTATGTTGTCTGTATCCTTTTACTGATTTTCCTCTATCGTTTTACTGATTTTCCTCTATCCTTTGACTCGTTCTTGTTCCCTGTTTACATTTTCTGCATCAGTCTTTTAATCAACGCTGTAGGCATCTTTTTTTTTTTTTAAAATCTTTGACATGTGAAGACTCGTGTCATTTCTGATATAACCTGGATGTTCCTGCCATTTAATAGTTGCAGTTTGTTGCACTGACAAGTTCTTCTTCTTTCACCGGCCGTAAACTCTAGCAGAAAGTTCTGCTTATTCATTCACTTCTGGACTTTTAGTCTTGTTCAATAACTTGGGTTTTGCATGCACATCCATTTTACAGATTTTGCATGTTTGTGTGCAGATTGTTGGTGTCTTGCCTCTCAGGCAGATGCACTCTGATTTTGAAGGAAACACACCTAATTACCTTTTACAATATGGGGGGGGGGGGTCACTGGGTCTATCTGTTTTGATTGTATCATGTTGCCAGTCTGTTTCCACAGAATGCAAGCTTGCCACATTTAAAGTACATATTATTCTCTTTCTGCAGCTGTAGATAACTGTATTTGTTTCTTAAAAATTAACCCACAAAAACCCTCAGTCCAAAACATGAATTTTAGAAAAAAAACCCAAAGGGACATTGTTTGTTTTGAACCTCAACCCCCCACCCAAAACATGAACCCAAAACCCTCACCCAAAACATGAACCCAAAACCCTCACCCAAAACATGAACCCAAAACCCTCACCCAAAACATGAACCCAAAACCCTCACCCAAAACATGAACCCAAAACCCTCAACCAAAACACTCCAAAACATGAACCCAAAACCCTCACCCAAAACATGAACCCAAAACCCTCACCCAAAACATGAACCCAAAACCCTCACCCAAAACATGAACCCAAAACCCTCACCCAAAACATGAACCCAAAACCCTCACCCAAAACCCTCACCCAAAACATGAACCCAAAACCCTCACCCAAAACATGAACCCAAAACCCTCACCCAAAACCCTCACCCAAAACATGAACCCAAAACCCTCACCCAAAACATGAACCCAAAACATGAACCCAAAACCCTCACCCAAAACATGGACCCAAAACCCTCACCCAAAACATGGACCCAAAACCCTCACCCAAAACATGGACCCAAAACCCTCACCCAAAACATGGACCCAAAACATGAACCCAAAACATGAACCCAATTCAAGGTGAGCCAGTACTGTTTGATTTTAAAATTTTGACCGAATCATCCAGTGGTGTCACTGTAAGACTACAAACTGTGGTTTCTATTTCCAGGCTGCATAAATCTGTCATTCGCTTACGTGGAAGGGGAGTCACTCTTGATGGCACTCAAAGATATCGCCCTTTCATCTGGAAGGTAAATCAGTGTGGCAGATTGTTCAAACAAACTTTGAGAGGTTATGATAGTAAAAATGTGCGATTTTTGTGGACAGGTAAATATTAGAAGCCATCACATAGTTGTGTGTACATATATTCTGTCAGAGATATTTAAAAAAAATATATAAAGGACCCTTTTCCACGCCTTTAGGCGTATAGGGCTAGACCTATATTTTTTTATAGACCAATCGGCATAGGATGGGTGAGATGAGCGATGTGGTCAGTATCACGCCGGCCGCCTTTACTTTCCCAGGACTGCACCTGGTACCCACTCAAGGCTGGGTCGACCTGGGAGCCATTTTTTTAAAGTCGGGCTCCGCCAGGGAGCGAACCCACAACCTTCTGATCTACGGCGAGCGTCTAGCAGCTTGGCAACAGCAACTCTCAGAGAGATTTATTCCTGATAAATTCTCATAGAAATAATAGATAGAAGTATTTCTAGGAGACTTACTGTTACACAGTTTGTCTGTTATATGGATTGTTTATACTTTTACCTTCCAGTATGTTTTATATGAATGTTGTATTTTTAAAATCTTTTATTACCTGTTATATGAATGTGTCATACTTCTGTTGTTTTATATACTCTATATGTGAATCTTTCAGTGCCTGTACATCAGCGTCGCTGGAACCGTCCTATGTTTTGAGAGCAATTGGGACCGACGAAGATCTGGCACACTCCTCAATCAGGTCAGTGTCTGATGCTGGGAGATGTTTCCTCTTGTATTTGTTGTGACCCTTCTGTCTTGTTTTTAAGACAAAAAGTTTACTTACAGTGCTGTAGAGATACAGACAGTTTGCATTCTCTGAGCTGTATTTGCACCACATGTACTCTTAAAACTTCTTGACACGGACAGTCAATACTTCTAAATCAGTATAGACACAATCTGTACTTATAAACCCGTATAAGACAGAGAGATAATCTTTACTGCTAAATCTTTGTAAACAGACAGACAATTTGTACTGCTAAAGCTGTATGGACACATACAGACAATCTGTACTCATAAAAAATATAGACTCAGAGAGACCATCTGTACTTATAAAGCTGTATGATACACTAGAAGAGATAGGGAAAGCTTAACAAAACTTGGATCTGAGAATGAGAGATGAATAATATGGGGACAAAATGGAGTGAGCTGTGGAAGATGCCCCCCCCCCCCCCAAAAAAAATATATATATATATATAGATATAAAAGAGCTTGGGGTTAATTGGTTAAAAGGTTTGCTACACTGGGGGCTAAAATGGAGGAGCGTATGTTTGCTTTTTCTTAAACATTTCTTGGGGCCCTTAGATCAGCCTGCATGCTGTTCACATTTGTGTCAGAAATCATTGCATAACTCTCCTGGTGTAGAAGACCTTGTAGGATTAAACAAACTAGCACATTTTATAATTAACTGATGAACGATTCTCCTTCTGCTTCTCACATCGTAGATTCATCTCGTATGACTCATGTCAGAGGCTGTTGGGTCACCCACTTAGTGGCAGCCCCTCTGGGATCTCCAACACATCTGCATTCATCAACTGAATGAGTCTGAAACTGAACCTAGAGTATGAAGCAAATAAATACCCATTTACCGTGGAGACCCCACTGTGACATGTTGGCAGCTTTCCGTCTTTCCAGACAATCATATTTCATCTTGCCATAGGAAGACATGGATATCTCAGCCCTTGGCGATACCAATTCAGGTCAGGGATGAATGATCCTTCGCTCGGCCTGCTTTGTTAACTCCGAATGAAAGGTAACACCAGTAATTGAAAGGGGCAGGGGGCATTCTACAGAAGCTGTCAGATCAGAAGAGCAGTGGTGTCTGCCTGCCTATTGCAGCTTTCCTCCACGACCTCCTTTCATCCTCCTCCTCAGCAATCACTAGCTGTAGACTCTGGCAGAAAGTTGTGGTTGTTCTGTTCCATGTCCTCACCCACACACACCGGACTGCAGGGGACACCAGGTTGGTGTAGTTGCTGCAGCTGCCCTAACTATAACTCCTGTTGAGGTTTCAACACGGATCTGCCTTGTGGGTCACCAACCAAGTTGAGATTTATAAATCTAATGATGGTATAGTCAGCCTTCAGGTAGCAGTCCAGAGAGGACAACCTGGTCCACCTTAAGCTTTCAAGATGCATTCCTTCACCTAGGATATAGCCAGAAACTGATAGAACAGGTGAGATGTCAGAAACATCCCATCCCATTCATCTAAATCTCTACATAGAAAACTTGATTTCTCCAGATTTGGCATCGGCAGATTCACAACCGAGGAAGAAATTGACTACACTGTCGGCAAGTGTGTCTCACATGTGAAGAGGTTACGTGATATGAGGTCAGTTGTTTCTCTGTGCCTGTTCTGTTTTGCATGAAGTCAGTATTGATTGTTCTCGATGTGGGAAATGTTCTCTGTCTGTCTTTTCCACACTGATTTGATTGGATTCAAGAACTGACATCACAGCACTCGGGGCATTCCCATAAGCGCTCTGTCCCCATCTTCAGCAGCCAGCGAAGAGTTTCGATACTAATAGTGCCAGTAGCATTCTGATTAAACATCCATCTTGTCTCTTCCACACTGAAAACTAAGCTAATTCCAGCCATCTTTTATCCTTCTCTCTCAAAAACTTATAGCTTAAGTCTTGATGACATCTATGATACAGTCGATAGCTCCCAGGTTACCATACAGTTTTGTCTTGAGTGAGGTTGAAAGGTCCATACTCTATGTCAGTTAGCAGCATACAGTTAGAGTACATGTTCAGCATTTTCAGGGTTGTAGGAACAAATCTTAATGTATGTCAAGTTTCCCATGTGAGTTCCAGGGTTCCCTCATGGAGGCACAGAAGAATAGGCCGACTGTAAACTCTGATGGAAAGATCTGGCTTGTTTGTATGCAGACTGTCTATTCCTTGCCTCCCAGGCAGATGCCCTCCAACTGTTGATTCCTTGCCTCTCAGGCAGATGCCCTCCAACTGTTGACTCCTTGCCTGTCAGGCAGATGCCCTCCAACTGTTGACTCCCTGCCTCTCAGGCAGATGCCCTCCAACTGTTGACTCCCTGCCTGTCAGGCAGATGCCCTCCAACTGTTGACTCCCTGCCTGTCAGGCAGATGCCCTCCAACTGTTGACTCCCTGCCTGTCAGGCAGATGCCCTCCAACTGTTGACTCCCTGCCTGTCAGGCAGATGCCCTCCAACTGTTGACTCCTTGCCTGTCAGGCAGATGCCCTCCAACTGTTGACTCCTTGCCTGTCAGGCAGATGCCCTCCAACTGTTGACTCCTTGCCTCTCAGGCAGATGCCCTCCAACTGTTGACTCCTTGTCAGGCAGATGCCCTCCAACTGTTGACTCCCTGTCAGGCAGATGCCCTCCAACTGTTGACTCCCTGCCTGTCAGGCAGATGCCCTCCAACTGTTAAGAAAACTTCCAGAATTATTCGCCCCTATAGCTTGTTAGCTGGCAGTAGGTCTGTTCTTTATTTTTCAAAATGGAGTCCTAGAAGCCACAGGGGGATTGTCTGTTTTTGATTTCTTTCTTTCTGTTGACTGTAATCCTGTATTTTGTTGTGCTCAGTTTGGTTTGTTCAATATTTATTTGCACCTGCCAACAACCGATTGTTTATTTTCCAACCAGCCCTCTGTGGGAGATGGTGCAGGAAGGAGTTGATATCAAATCCATCAAGTGGACCCAGCATTGAGATGGTGACGCGGTGGCTGGAGTCAGATCGTGCACTGAGATAACTAGATACACTTACACAGTCTCCTCAGCAAGTCTATGAGTGGTCAGCTTGGGTACAGTGTCAGTCTAGGAACCTTTCTAAACATTCGGTGAACCCGGTGTCTATTTGTGTAGATATCAGTACAAAGATTAACTATGTGATGTTTGTATGCAGTTATACTGGAAAGATGTTAGCAAGGATTAACTATGTGATGTTTGTATGCAGTTACACTGGAAATGTGTTAGATTTTTTTTTCAAACATTTGGACAAAAAATATGTTAGAAGTAAAATAAGATAGATGTTTTTTGGTACACATTCACATACAGTGCAGACTATTTAAGGTGGTCTTCCATGTGGCGAATTTTTGTTGTGAATGACTATTTGTTTATCCCTGTCAATTTTCTTGCTCGAATTCTCATCTGGGTAAGAGAAATTTCTGATAAGAAGAACCATTTCTTGGGTCCGCGACGAGTTCTCAGATTTACACTGTATGTCTATTTGGTACACATTTATGTGGACATAATATGTTAGAGTTCATTAACATTTCATGCAGGTGTTTTGCCCTCCGGCATGACAAAGCTGTAGTGTCTCAGCCATGTTTGCAGTAATTCATTGCTGAAGTTACTCCTAGCTCCTAGTTTTATTTTCATACCTATCTTGATGTGATTGTCTTCAGAGCTGCCTATGAGTTGCTTGTTGTACATTTCATTCATAAAGCTTCCATTGGCTATTCTGGCTCGTGCACTTTCATGGAATCTCTATTTTGTCACTGACCGAGGTGAGAGTGGGTGAACAGACAAGTCAGCAGCAACTGGTGACCCAAAGACGTGCGGTGTTGTGGGACTATGATGATGATGATTGTCAGCTTGCCTTGAATAAATATTAGCACTGTGTAAATGGTGTCATTGTCTGATACGATGACACTGTAAATGGTGTCATTGTATGACACAATGACACTGTAAATGGTGTCATTGTATGTTATGGTGACACTGTAAATGGTGTCATTGTATGATACTGTAAATGGTGTCATTGAATGACACGATGACACTGTAAATGGTGTCATTGTATGTTATGGTGACACTGTAAATAGTTGTCATGTATGACAACATGGTGACACTGTAAAGGGTGTCATTACACTATAGGGTAACACTGTAAATGGTGCTATTGCATTCATTGATGACTGTGTGTAAATGATGTTATTGCTTTCTGTGTTGACACTCTGTGAATTATGTTCTGTAGAGACACAGTGAAAAGGTGTTAATGCATTCAGTGGTGAATGTAAATTGTGCTGCTATCTTCTAAAGTAACACTGAATGGTGATATTGTAAATAGTGTTATTACCTTCTGTGTGACACTGTTCACGAGGGCTGTTTGGGGGCCAAAATGTTGACAACGGGGATTCTTATGGGCCGGAGCATAGTGTAAAAAGATTAATAATACAGTACAATAAGCAATGATCTGCGGGCCATTTGCTAGGCCTCTGGGCCTGCAGCTGAATAGCCCTGCTGTATGTAGTTGGTGTTATCAGATTGTATGATGACACTGTGAACATTTCTGGGAGACCTTTTGATTGCAACAGCTGCTGGATGATTTGGGTTTCTGTAAATGTGATATGATAGACACCATCACTATGTCATAAATGAGAGAAACCATCCAGTAAAGAGAGATGAGAGCATATTTATCATTATAAGAAACCATTATACAGTAAACACAACCTTATGAATTTACTCGATGTCTGTGTTTCTATTTGTACATGAGATTTCAGTGTTTTGCAACAATACTCATATTTTAATTTGCAAATAAAAGTTGTTCATCAACAAGAAAATTACAACAGTCTTGTCCTCTGCTATCATCTTCAGTTTATTTGACATTGCACTAAGACATGTTCATGCTGCACTTGTAGCACTGTTGGAAGTTCATACTTGATACAGTGAACGGCTGAATGAATAAAATATTTAATGATCAAACTGTCCCCTAAACACAGCAGTGAAGGTTAAGTTATATCTCCTGCAAGGTTCCAGGTTAAGTCATATTCTTCTTCAATCCTTCTGTCAGAAAATGTATACCAGGAGGCCTTTATAGAAGCTATTGTGCAGTCCTTATCTCATAGTGTACCATACAGTTGTGTCTTCACTGTGGTTGGATGCGGGCCAGGTCACATACAGCTGTGTCTTCACTGTGGTTGGATGCGGGCCAGGTCACATACAGCTGTGTCTTCACTGTGGTTGGATGTGGGCCAGGTCAAATACAGCTGTGTCTTCACTGTGGTTGGATGTGGGCCAGGTCAAATACAGCTGTGTCTTCACTGTGGTTGGATGCGGGCCAGGTCATATACAGCTGTGTCTTCACTGTGGTTGGATGTGGGCCAGGTCACATACAGCTGTGTCTTCACTGTGGTTGGATGTGGGCCAGGTCATATACAGCTGTGTCTTCACTGTGGTTGGATGTGGGCCAGGTCACATACAGCTGTGTCTTCACTGTGGTTGGATGTGGGCCAGGTCATATACAGCTGTGTCTTCACTGTGGTTGGATGCGGGCCAGGTCACATACAGCTGTGTCTTCACTGTGGTTGGATGTGGGCCAGGTCATATACAGCTGTGTCTTCACTGTGGTTGGATGCGGGCCAGGTCACATACAGCTGTGTCTTCACTGTGGTTGGATGCGGGCCAGGTCACATACAGCTGTGTCTTCACTGTGGTTGGATGTGGGCCAGGTCAAATACAGCTGTGTCTTCACTGTGGTTGGATGTGGGCCAGGTCAAATACAGCTGTGTCTTCACTGTGGTTGGATGTGGGCCAGGTCATATACAGCTGTGTCTTCACTGTGGTTGGATGTGAGCCAGGTCATATACAGCTGTGTCTTCACTGTGGTTGGATGCGGGCCAGGTCAAATACAGCTGTGTCTTCACTGTGGTTGGATGTGGGCCAGGTCACATACAGCTGTGTCTTCACTGTGGTTGGATGCGGGCCAGGTCAAATACAGCTGTGTCTTCACTGTGGTTGGATGTGGGCCAGGTCAAATACAGCTGTGTCTTCACTGTGGTTGGATGTGGGCCAGGTCATATACAGCTGTGTCTTCACTGTGGTTGGATGTGGGCCAGGTCAAATACAGTTGTGTCTTCACTGTGGTTGGATGTGGGCCAGGTCAAATACAGTTGTGTCTTCACTGTGGTTGGATGTGGGCCAGGTCATATACAGCTGTGTCTTCACTGTGGTTGGATGTGGGCCAGGTCAAATACAGTTGTGTCTTCACTGTGGTTGGATGTGGGCCAGGTCAAATACAGCTGTGTCTTCACTGTGGTTGGATGTGGGCCAGGTCACATACAGCTATGTCTTCACTGTGGTTGGATGTGGGCCAGGTCAAATACAGCTGTGTCTTCACTGTGGTTGGATGCGGGCCAGGTCAAATACAGCTGTGTCTTCACTGTGGTTGGATTCGGGCCAGGTCAAATACAGCTGTGTCTTCACTGTGGTTGGATGCGGGCCAGGTCAAATACAGCTGTGTCTTCACTGTGGTTGGATGTGGGCCAGGTCAAATACAGTTGTGTCTTCACTGTGGTTGGATGTGGGCCAGGTCAAATACAGTTGTGTCTTCACTGTGGTTGGATGTGGGCCAGGTCACATACAGCTTTGTCTTCACTGTGATTGGATGTGGGCCAGGTCAAATACAGCTGTGTCTTCACTGTGGTTGGATGCGGGCCAGGTCACATACAGCTGTGTCTTCACTGTGGTTGGATGTGGGCCAGGTCAAATACAGCTGTTTCTTCACTGGTTGGATGCGGGCCAGGTCAAATACAGCTGTGTCTTCACTGTGGTTGGATGTGGGCCAGGTCAAATACAGCTGAGTCTTCACTGTGGTTGGATGCGGGCCAGGTCAAATACAGCTGTGTCTTCACTGTGGTTGTATGCGGGCCAGGTCAATTACAGCTGTGTCTTCACTGTGGTTGGATGCGGGCCAGGTCAAATACAGCTGTGTCTTCACTGTGGTTGGATGTGGGCCAGGTCAAATACAGTTGTGTCTTCACTGTGGTTGGATGCGGGCCAGGTCATATACAGCTGTGTCTTCACTGTGGTTGGATGCGGGCCAGGTCAAATACAGTTGTGTCTTCACTGTGGTTGGATGTGGGTCAGGTCAAATACAGCTGTGTCTTCACTGTGGTTGGATGTGGGCCAGGTCACATACAGCTGTGTCTTCACTGTGGTTGGATGTGGGCCAGGTCATATACAGCTGTGTCTTCACTGTGGTTGGATGCGAGCCAGGTCACATACAGCTGTGTCTTCACTGTGGTTGGATGTGGGCCAGGTCATATACAGCTGTGTCTTCACTGTGGTTGGATGCGGGCCAGGTCACATACAGCTGTGTCTTCACTGTGGTTGGATGTGGGCCAGGTCAAATACAGCTGTGTCTTCACTGTGGTTGGATGTGGGCCAGGTCAAATACAGCTGTGTCTTCACTGTGGTTGGATGTGGGCCAGGTCATATACAGCTGTGTCTTCACTGTGGTTGGATGTGAGTCTTCACTGTGGTTGGATGTGAGCCCAGGTCATATACAGCTGTGTCTTCACTGTGGTTGGATGCGGGCCAGGTCAAATACAGCTGTGTCTTCACTGTGGTTGGATGTGGGCCAGGTCACATACAGCTGTGTCTTCACTGTGGTTGGATGTGGGCCAGGTCAAATACAGCTGTGTCTTCACTGTGGTTGGATGTGGGCCAGGTCATATACAGCTGTGTCTTCACTGTGGTTGGATGTGGGCCAGGTCAAATACAGTTGTGTCTTCACTGTGGTTGGATGTGGGCCAGGTCAAATACAGTTGTGTCTTCACTGTGGTTGGATGTGGGCCAGGTCATATACAGCTGTGTCTTCACTGTGGTTGGATGTGGGCCAGGTCAAATACAGTTGTGTCTTCACTGTGGTTGGATGTGGGCCAGGTCAAATACAGCTGTGTCTTCACTGTGGTTGGATGTGGGCCAGGTCACATA